GACACTTTGCGGAGTGAACGAAAATCAGTTCTCAACACATCTTTCAGGTAAAACAGAGGTGCTGGTAGATGGAGCCTTTAACCTATCTTCCAAGAAAGCCGGGGTTGGAGGTATCATTAGAGATCCTAACGAGGCCCTCGTGATTCATTTGGGAGATGGTGACCCTCTGTTTGCAGAGTTATGGGCATGCCTTTTGGGGTTTCGCTAGGCTTGGGACGGTGATGATTGTAAAATCATACTCTGATCTGACTGTGCTAAGGCCATCACACTCATACGAGATGGAGCTGATGAGCTTCATGCTCATTGGAACGTCATTCTAGAATGCCAATCTATGCTCGAGAGAAACTGGGAAGTAGAGCTACTTTACACCCCAAGGGAGCTGTTACGTACCGCAGACTTCCTCGCGAAGGACGCATTGTCAAAATCCCCAAGACTTCACTTAGTGCCGCTTGAAGATTTCTTTTTACTTCTGCATTGAGTTTTTATTGTAATCTTCTCTCTTTATCAAAAAAAAAAAAGGTGAAAGAAAATTTAGTAGAAAAAGATGAAGGGAAAGAATAAAAAAATTAATTGATGATAAAATTGATAAAAATATATTTAATATTCAAACACCCCTAAATAAGATATTGTTAAAAAGACCAAACCAATCCAAATTATAGGATCATATAAAAATCAACCGAGGGAGTATAATTTTGGAATAGAGCTCATCTTTTTGTGTGCGTTACACTTTGTTGATATGGTATGTAAAAATTTAATCCACCTTTTTCATTTTTATTGTCCTTAATGATTTCACGTTCTGCATTAATTATCATATGTTCGTCAAGAATTACTCACTCTATGGGAGACTCTCTTTCTCTTATTTCTTTTTTCCCCCCCTATACACTCCCCTTTTTTTTTTTCCAGTCATTCTCTTTCTCCTTCGACCCTCCATAGATAAGGGATGTATTTGAATTCAAATACATTTGTGATCCATTCATTATTTTTAACCAAGTTTAATCAATTTTTTGATCTAAATAATTCAGTTATTTGCATGTGATATATAGAAGTGGAGTGAGTTTTAAATAAGGCGGATTGTATGAAACCGAAAACTCTAAAACTTGCGGAGCAAGTAGTTTTGGGAAGTTAAAATAGGAAAAAGAATCTACATATAGATAGTGGGGTGGTTAATACTTTGAAAGCTGAAACTTGGGCAGCAAGTAGCTTTGCTGTTCGTTTCATTCATCCAGGTCCGGAAAGCCAGAATATTATTACTGACTTCACAGTAATCCCTTTATTTTTATTTTTTTAATGCGTTTGGCATTCAGCTTTTTCTATTACTTATTCCTTCTTCATTACTCTTTGCTTTTCATCACAATTTTCTCCTTCGTTCTTTCCCCTTCTTTTCTTCTGCCAATAATGCTACCTGCTACGACGACCTTTATTATTAGTAGAAAAGTGGAGTGTTCTTGGTCCCAATGACATTGTTGGCGTCCTTACCGTAATATTAATTTGGAACACAACAATGTCATTGGCGCCTACAATATTCTGCACTTCCTCTTACCGTAATGAAACTTGGGTTAAGGTCCAATTTTTACCTCAAAAAATTCCAGAATGTAGATATCCGAATTTTTTTTTTAATCAATACCATCCTGAAAATTTTAAAAGAAAGTGATTCCATCCCTAACATTTAAAAATGTTAATTGTCAATCTTAGTTTTTAATCGTTAATGTTAATTTTTTAAAATGTCAACAATTAGGACAACTTTGCTCCCTTTCTAACACTTTTAAAGTGATATTAATCCTTAAAAAAAACTTCGAAATACCTGCAGCTTCTATATGAAAACTTGTGAGACAAAATTGAATCTTCATCCATGAAAGGTCAACATTTTTGTAGTTGAGATATTTTCACAGTAAGAATTGCCTACGGTGATTTTGGGGTGTCATAATGCTTGTTATTGCAAGCCAAAAGATAAGTGTTTTTTTTTTGAAAAATTATATGTGTATTTGATATTATACTAACTTAAATTAAACCACCGTTCAACTCAAATATAATGTAATAGCCTTTCTAAAGGAGAATTACAATGAGGTCCCAAATAAGAAAAACAACTGAAAAAAACAGTCTCAGAGGTTGTCATTCTCACTATAGGACTTGTCATTATAGAATGTTGAGATTGTCATTGGGACCTTTTAATAATTATTTTTCTTTTACGGGACTTGATTGTAATTCCCCCTTTCTAAGTGCAAGAATGACCGTCGATGCAATTATTGTCACTTTCTTCTATGGGTTCTAAGAGTTTTCCTTAAAATATGACTAGTGTATTCGTATATAACATGTCAATTAAGTTTAAATTAAAAAATGTTAGTTAGGTCATTAAACGCGTCTTGAATTGATAAAAGTTACTTATTTATTCATATTAAAAAATTAATTGAAAATTCCTCTTATCTTTCTTGTATTTAGGACTCTCTTTCCTCCTTATGCGAGAAACTTTAATGTGCGCAAAGTTGAAAAAAAAACTTCTATTTGAAAGATATTTAATAAATTAAGAAAAAATTAATTTGGCAGTCCTTGTAATTTTATTCAATTCTGAATCAAGTCCATGTATTTTTTTTCCTTTTTATCCCCTCCTTATTGTTTACTCAGTTATCTGCTTTGGTCCTTCTGTTATAGATACTGTTAGTTTGGGTTGACTAGGGGCTAACATAGCACTAAATAATACTCCTCCAATATTTAATATAGGATCTAATTCTTGAGTTAGTTTTGATCCTAAATATAAGACCTATTTATTATATTTATCAATTTTTTTAAATTACCCCTATGAATACGTCCTTAACCATAATCAAATAGAAGAGGGAGATGGGATATTAAAAAATATGGTTATAGTGTTTTAGAAAAAATGTGTCACTTTTCTTATATTAACTAACTTATTAATTTCTTAATCTAATCAAATTAGTTAAATGGGTTTTATATTAAGTAGGAGTAGTCTTACTAAGCATACCATCTTCCTCACCCACGCCACCTCCTCTGTTAACTCTCTCTCTCTTCGTTCCCCACAAAGCTCGGGTTGCAGAATGATGTTGCTACTTAGGCTATTGCAGCTCGTCCGTTCATGCTAAGCTAAAGGTACGACAGTGGTGGTCACTGTGTCAGGAGAATGATGATATTTTTTGGATTAGAGAAGAACGCAAAGTCAGAACTTGTTCTGGGAGTATGATTTGGTATCATCATTACTTAAATCGCCAAAACACGTTACCCAGAGACAATGGAGGAGCTTGAAAGAACTTCTATGGCTTCTTCTTCTTTTTCATGTTTCAGATTCTCCTTCTCACCTGAGAATTATTGGTGGAGTTGAAGTGCACGCCGCCTCCACTAGGTCCCACCATGTTCTATTTGTCTTACCGGGACCGATCTACTCAAGCGTTAACATATCCCAAAAGAGCAGACGCTTCTCCTTCCCCGACCCTACGCCGTCTGGTCATTCTGCAAAAGGAACGTTTGTGGAATCTCCACGTCACCGCAAGAGCCGTAGCCGATTTGCGAGAGCTGGTTGATCGAGCACCACGATCTAAGCGAAGCTGGCTTACTCTTGTTGGCTCGAGCTCTGTTACTTCAGAGAGCTATGTTACTCCTGTCGCCATGGGAGTTGGTAACAATTGGGGAGGAGGAGGGTACCATTACATATGTGAGAAGGAATTACTGAAGCTGAAACACAAAGCAAAGCTTTAGCTAAAGACGATGATTGTGAATAAAGAAAGAGTATATTTTGGCCACAAAAAAACAAGGAATGAAGAAAGAATACATGAACTATAACAGAGAGATCATGGTGTTGCTTTGAAGAGACTGTGCGGAGAAGGGAGGGAGAAGCTGGGAAAGGAGGTGGTGCCGGTGCCGAAGATGATGTGCTTTGTGCTTACTCAAGCATTATTCAGCGCCATGTCAGCCTCTAGTCAACCCCAACTAACGGCATCTATGCAGAAGGACCAAAGATAACTGGGCAAACAATAAGGACTTAAGGAGGGATTAAAAAGAAAATAATTATAAGGATTTGATTCAAAATTAAGTAAAATTACAAGGACTATCAAATTAATTTTGTCATAAATCAATGACCATTTTTTGATTTTAATAAATTAATTAAAGTGATTTATATTATAAGTATGAGGAGCATCTATTACAGAAAAAAATCTCTTACTGAGTAGTGAGAAGAGGACATAGATGAAAAAGTGGGAGAGCATAGTTAAATTTTATACTTTTATCGCCATCCGAGCATGAGGTTTAAATTCTGGCAAAAAAAAAAAAAGAAAAAGAAAAATTTTAAACTTGTGAAGCAAGTTGTCCTCATTTCCGTGTTCCTCACGAGATGCCATTCGAGAACCTTCGGGGACGTGTTCCTATTTGGAGATTAGAATACATAAAATTTTAAAACCTAGGGAACAAGTTTCCAACACATATAACATAAATCACACACACACACATCTAGTTTTTTCACGCACATATATATCTAGTTTTCATATTGTACTACAATGATGAGAAAGACGTGAGTTTAATGCTCGAAAGAAGAAATGAAGGGGAAAGATAGACTCCCAAAAATTCTCTCCTCCTGTTTGCATCTTTAATTAGTTTAGTAGAAGTGGATGTTATATTCAAGAAAACAGAAATATCATATTTTGAAACCATAATGTGTCTTTTTAGAAATATGAAAAAAAAGATGGGGTTGGTATAATTTTCGATCATTAAAATTTAGAGTTATTTGATTTTAATCTTTTAAATTTTAAACTCATAATTTTAATTTTCAAAATTTAGTTTATTTTAATATTAATTTATCTTAATTTTCACTGCCGACCTGACCTCTAGGCCGGTCTATAAAAGGAGGTGTTGCCGCGGGTGACGCTTCAAGTGAGCAAGTCAAGTCTGTCCATTCCTTTCTCTTTCACGCCCTCTTCTTCACTCTCCCCAAGCATCTTCGTCTCCCTCAAATCCTCTGCTTGCCCCTTTCCAACCCCTTCATATATTATTGTGGCTGAGACAACCACGACGGATCCAGCTCCGATGCAGAGCCGTGTGCCTCCGGGATTCAAATTCTGTCCTACCGAGGAACAGCTCGTCGCTTACTACCTCCGCCACAAATTGATGGCCCTTGATCCTTCCGTTTACACCACCTTACCTGACATTGACGTCTGCAAGTTCGAGCCCTGGGATTTATTATGTATTTTATTCCAAATTTTTCTTTCTGATTTTTTATGCTCCATCTTCTTATCATGCTCTGGCCCTTGATTTTGCTTTCTTGCTCTTATCTAGCTCTTGCTACTTCAGCGGCTTCGGCGACCAATTTTGACGACTCGGAGTGCTTTTTCTTCAGTCCTCCTGATTATAAGTACGCTAAGAGTACTCGGTGGAACAGGACAACATCGTGTGGCTCCTGGAAGTTCACTGGCCGGGAGCGGAATATCAGAGAGCAAGGCACCAACAATGTCATTGGGATTAAAAGGATTCTCGTTTTCTACGAAGGTCGTCCTCCTCGTGCACGTAAAACCAATTGGGTTATTCATGAATATCATGATGCCACACTTCCTCTGGAACAGGTGAAATCCAATTCTGTTTGTGTTTTTTCATATCAACTACGCGCCTTAAGAATTAGAGAGTACATGCTGTGCTTCTATTGTAAAACTAAAAGAATTTTCTGGGCTTCACAAACTGTTTTACAACTGTAGTTACTGAATCTACCGTCAATAATGTTTGTCATCAATTTTCATGAGTTGGAGTTAGCTCACGACACTGTCAGTTCTGATGAATAACTCATCTGATTCATTGTTTTTATTAAACAGATTACTGTTAATTCTGATTTTGTGCTATAGTTTTGACAAATGAATGCCTGATTATACTTCCAAATGGTGCAGAGGAACTTTATTCTATGCAAGTTAAGGAAGAAATATGAGAAGAAAATAAAAGAAAAAACTATTGACTTTGATCAAAGATTACTTGAGCTTGAAAGGGAGCTCAATAATGACACAGACTTCGAATATGAAAATCAAGCAAATTTCAATATGATTTCAAAGGTAAGCAGAAGGATTCTTTAAGTAGTTCACAGATTATGTTTGAAGGCGTGAAAGAGAACGAAAACTAATACTTGTTGAATACTTGTTTTAGGAATATTGTTCATTAAATATGAGCTCAACCACTCAAACCTCTCCCCAAGAAGTTATAGACAACACAGGCACTCAAGTTCAATTCCTTTCAAATGAAGATACGGACTCAATGATTCAAGAACTTCTCCAGTCAAATGAAGCTATACCACAAAAACTAAATTCAAGCAGTGAAACACCGCTTGAGTTTGATTACGAAGAGTTGTACTCCAGCTTGGTCGTGTAGTTGGCTCCAGCCATGGATGAGCAATGGTTACGGGAAACGACGGCCACAGCTTCTATGCATTGAGATGAAAGAAAAAAAAAAAAAAAAGCATTTGCATTAGTGTATCTTTCTCCAATTACTTTTCTAAATTCCTGTGAGTTAGCATGAAGAAGTTTTGTGTATCTTTCTTTTTAGTGTTATAAATCCTGGTGACTAGCGATTTAACTTGTCTTAAACACTATGTTTAAATTAATGCAAATTTGTATGGCCATAGACAATTGTTTCTTTTCCTCTATGATTAACTGATGCTATAGCATAAACTATTGATGGGAAGAATTCTGGTGTAAATGGAATATTAAATATAGTAAGAGACAATAAACAAAATAATAATCATGTTAACTACTGCCTTTTTTTTTTTAATCTTTTCTTTTCTTTTTATAAATGGAAAAGTGGAGAATAAACTAACAAAATGAAAAGAAGCATAACAAAGCAGAGGATGGAACAAAATGAGAGCATAAAAAAAAAAAATGGCGAGTCAAGGAATATGAGGAAATGGAAGGCGACGTACCGAACAAATGTTAGTGGAGTCAATGCTCTCAAAAGCTAAAACTCGGGGAGCACGTCTCAGCGTATAGTTATACACACACAAGAATTGCCATTTACAGAACACCCCAAAAAAAAAAAGCTATTTTTTTTCTTTTTTTCTTTTTAATTGCCCTTTCTCTCTTTTCGTCTATTGTAAATACCTTGACTTTTAGCATTCTTACAAGATAATACTACTATTTCTGTTGGATTTATTGATTTTCTGTTGATATAGCTCGTCCATTCTTCTAGTTTGAAATTACCAGTATATATAAATATCAAGCTCTATCACTCGTTGAAATTAAAAGAGATTCTTTCTAGCCCCATGATCGTCAGGTTTATTTTATTATTACTATCTAATGGGCTCATTAATATGAATTTCATTTGGATGACATTCCGTGCATTTTCAATTTAAAGATGGTTATCAATTATTAGTTTCACAGATGTGTGTTTAGCACACTGACCAAAATGAAAATGGCAATTAAGATAAGAGTTGACTGGGGCTAAGCCAGTGTCGAACTCGGGACCTCAAGATAACTCAACAAAGCTACGAAACCAACGTACCAGTCAACTGCGCCGATGGGAAAAGCACGTTTTTAGTTTTTTCCATGGGATGAGACTTGAGAAAGTATCTTTTCCTGATTTCATTAAATTTACTGTATGAATACAAATTTTTGTTCTTAATTTATATTTTCTATAAAACATTATCTTTTATAAAGTATATACATTAAAAGGAGTAAAGAGATAAAATTAGGGTTGATGTGCATTTAGCATTCTAAAATTTTTTTAGATACACACTACTACAAAATATATTATTTTCATCTGTTCTAAAGGTCCTTGTTAGTTTGTTTTAAGGGAGACATTAATATAAGAGATGTAGATAGTAATTATATATTTGTCTATTTTAAAACAGACGAATACTGGCATTCATATATTTGTCTGTTCCATAACAGATGAATGTGGGCTTGCATATTCGTCCGTTCTCTCCAAAACAGATGAATATGTGGTCTGCATATTCGTCTATTCTAGCCAAAATAAACAAATATGAGCATGCATATTCGTTTATTCTAGATTCTGGAGAGAACAAATGAATGTGTGTTTTTTTTTAAAAAAAAAGGTGAAAATTTGGATATTGTCAGTTTTTATTCAACCTGCGATTCCAAAAGCATACATACAGCAGAATTAAAATGGATTATAGCAAAACAATAATAGCAATTTGGCACAATCAAATCACATGTTTTTCATATAAATAAAATCCACACAATCCACAATTTTAAGGGTTAAAACATTTAAAACGAAAAAATCCTAATTAATTAACTTAATTAAGCAAAAAGAACTAAACACCATAAGTTAGTCATATAACAATTAAAGTAATTTTATCTAATTAGTCATATAACAATTAAAGCAATTTTATCCAATTAACCTCAATTCCAACAAAACTAAAGTAATTCAAGACTAAGTTAAGCTATCCAACACAATTAAATCAAACAAGTTTAGCAATCTACAACATGTAAAAACATATATACCGAAGTTTTCATCTTCACAATATCAAATACAATTTCAAGCTTACTTACAATATTAATTAGGATAATTGTAATATTCAACTACACAAGCTTTTCAATATGATTTGAAGCACATTTCTCCTAACACTATCCACTTACAAAGTAATAAAAATAAATCTAAATACACATATATGTTTAAATAGCATCTCAAGCTTTCTAAAATTTAATATGAAGATTAAATATTGAGTTAACTATTATATTCCAATCAAATTATTGTTTTAGACATTAATAAGAGTTGATCCAATTGGTAAGAAGTCGACTCATAACCCACAAGGTCTTGAGTTCGAATCTCGCTGCTGATGTGAGGACCTTGTTGGTGGGCGATTTGTAAGTACCTTTGTAAGCGCTCTCGGAGTCTGGAGGCATGCTTTAGCCCTAGTGAGCCCCCCGGATCCAACTCACCTAAACTTTTGTAAACCCAAAAAAAAAATCATTCTCTTAGACATTTTCACAAACACCTTATGTGTGTTAAGGTTTAAACAAGTTTAGCAAGCTTTTTAATCATCAAAATGTAACCCAATCGATGTTGAATAATTCCTAAATGCAACTCTTACCAACAATCAATTTAAATAAAAAACATACATGCCCACAAACACTTATATTCATTCATTTCAATATCCAAAAACTCACATAATATAAGAGACACACCCCCGTGCCTCTTACCTTGTGTTGTGAACAAGCTCAAGCTGGACAAGAATAGCGACTTTCATGAAAGAAAACGTTGCTCCTGGTCGTGGGATAGAATGGATGAAGAATGGGAAAGAGAAGGAGAAGAAGAATGGGGAAGAAAGGGAAAAGAAGGGGAAAGAGAGGGAGAAGAAGACAATGAGCTACTAGAGAGGGAGAAGGCAAACTTGGTTGTCAACATCGGCACTGGAGGGGGAGAAGTAGAAGTCTGAACAAGAGAGAGAGAGCGCACCGCATATGAAGAAAAGAGAAGAAGGAAGGAGGAGGTGTATATGCTAGGGTACGTTTAAATCTGTGTGGCAAAAATGAAATTTGAATTAAAAAAAGACGTTGTTCGTCTGCTTTTAAGAAAAACAGACAAGCATGGGGAGTCCATACTCTTATGTTTCTTTTTAACAGACAAGTTTGAAGGCCCATATTCTTCTATTTTTCAAAACAGATGAAAATGGGTGACGAAAATGACTTTATTTGTATTAGTGACACATAGCACCTTAAGTTTGAAGGCCCATATTCTTCTAGGGCATGAGTTTTAGAACTTTTATCTTGATAAGATGCTTGTGGTAATGAAGATTCTATAGCTCTTCTGATTGTCTAATGGTGCCATGTCATCTGATGTCCTATCGTGTGATTAAAATGTTATGACAATTCGTGTTGTTTAGGAAAATGACAATTCGTGTTGTGAAAACTTGTATATCTCTTGCTAATTCACAAATTTCTGTTGTAAATATATATTGTGTTTAATTATTGAAAGTTGATTGAAATTGATACTTGAATGATGTGTAGCTATAGATAACAAAAGGTTAGCAGTAGTGGAAAACAATTAATTTGCATCTCCTATGTGGGAGGTGAATTTGTTAAGAATTTGCAACCACCATTGACTACTCGCTATCTTGGAAGGCTTAGAACTAGGAGGATTGAATCACAATTCTAGCAGAAGAAAGTGTATCATTGCTCAGGATGTGGTGAAGCTATTCATACTAGAAAAACTTGTCCCTGAACCCTGCGTGATTTTATTGCTGAAAATAGTCTTTTCTGGTTCAATATAGAGCCGCTTTTGCACATGAATGAATCTCAATATGTATTTTTAGATTGGTTGGGAAAGTAGCTATGACAACCCACTTAATATTTTTGGTGGTGGATTAGAATCTATATTGTATAATAATGTGATAGTTGAAAAATGTCATGATGGTACTAAACAATAAGCTATCCCCACCACTACACTAAAATTGGTTGACAACAATGTAAATGCATGAAAAACTTTGTCCACTTACGAATGGATGTATTTATGTTAATACATGTATCTCTATTGTAAATTGCCTAATTCCAATTATGAATGAAACATCTAGACTTGTGCATAGACTTTTTATTTTAAATACTCTACTTGTGAATGGAAGAGATGTAACTGGTTGTAACACACGTATTCTTATTACAAATTTCCTTATTCTGGTTGTCAATGAATGCTCACTCCTAGACTTATGTTCCACTTGTCAATTCAACTAGCTCACTTGCAAATGGACGTATTATTATTGTTAATATACATATTTTTGTTGCAAATTCTCTATTTGCAGTTATGAATGAACACTCGCTCCTAAACTCGTGATCGATTTGTCAATTTAATTAGTTCACTTGCAAATGGCCGTGTTCTTGTCATTAATATATGTATTTTTATTGCAAATTCCCTAATTTCAGTCGCAAATAAATCCTTCCAAACTTGTGAATTGTTCAACTTCTTCAATTCAACTAGCTCGCTTGCAAATAGACATGTTGTTAATATACATATGCGTGTTGTGAATTTCCTAATTCCAGTTGCAAATAGGCTTTCTCAGAGTTGTGAATCATATTCAGCTTCTTCAATTCAACTACCACTTATGAATGGACATATTGTTATTGTTAATATATGTATGCATGTTGCAAATTTTATAATTTCAGTTCAAATAAGTCCTCCCAGACTTGTGAATCAACATGTTTGACTTTTTTAATCAGATTAGTTTATTTTCAAATAGACGAGTTCTTGTTGTTAATGTGTATATCCGTGTTAGAAATTTCCTAATTTCACTTGTGAATAATCTCTCCAGACTTGTTATATTATCATGGTCAACTTTTTAGTTATATGAGCTCATTTGCAAATAGACGAGTTTCTTTAACAAATCAACTTATCCTTGTTGTATATTTTCTAATTTCAGTTGTGAATAATACATCACATACTTGTAAATTGGTAGGAAGAGACTAAAAATTATAGTTAATTAACTTGCAACATACTCATAATATATATTCTCTAAAAAGAAAATTGTTCAAATTCTCTATTCACAACTTTAACATAATTCCAAATAGTTTAAATTACATGTCAAATAGAAAATTTAACAATTTGTGATGTCATCACTTTCTTTTCGGTTGTGTCTTTATCTGTTGAAGTAGTTTTGTAATAGCAACTGACTTCATATTCCAGAACTTGGTTCAGGTGTTTCTCCACTTGTCATGCTCTACGCTCCTACACCATCCTTGCCTATGACAGGAAAAATTCTAGAACATCATGTTATAAAGTCACTAATTGTACCTAATATCCTAATTGTATATGTTTACAATAGAAATTTGTGAATTAGCAAGAGATATACAAGTTTTCACAACACGAATTGCCATTTTCCTAGACAACTTGAATTTGCAAATTTATAATACAAATACATATTTTAGCAACATCAAATTACTATTTTTCTATAGATTTGCTTTCACAGCACTCATTCAAGTAACGGGATTCTCAGACTTACAAATATGCTAGACAAAATACCCACTATTACTATAACAAGCAATAATCAAGTATCTTATAGAACAGAAACTTTTCATATTCGACAAATAACATATACATTCAAGCGTAATAACAGATTCATATACAGGTTTTGAGAGTGAGAGAACCAGTACAACAAACGATGATGAATCTCCTTTGGACGATTTCTGTGACTTTTCAGAGTGCCACAACCAGTAGACGGATGGTGAGTTTTCAGATGTAAAAGGAAAGAGCATGCAAGAGAGATTTCAATGTGAGAGAGGGAAGAGTAGGATGAAAGTTTTTTCTGATTTTCGGTCCTTTTCTGTTCATCAGTTTCAGCAGCAAAGTTAACAAGGACATTTGCGTCTTTTTCTTTGTCCAATTAATTTCACTTTCCCCCTAGGCCCTACAGTGAAGTTTCAGATTGTTTTGGGGGTTAACTGAAATAAATTTGCTATAGCAGTCCTAGATTGAAATTTTCCCTTGTTTAAATCTTGCCGAGAATAGTATTAATACTGAAGCAAGTAGCCTAATCTATTTTTTGAAGGAATCTGGACCCATATTTAACAATAGAATTTCGGCAATTTCTAAAAATGATTGGACATTGTTCGTCTTCTTTTAAGAAAAACTGTACCGTTTAGTCAGACAAAGCCTTGCAAGGTCAATTGAATTTACACGTCATCTTAGAAAAATGCCTCGACAGATGCTGCATTTTACAGAAGCTCGTCCAAAAATGGTGTTTGTAATTGTAAGGAAGAAGAGCAAAAGCACATATGTTGGAATAAGACACGGAAAACTTCATTAATTTGTTACACAAAGATTAAGACAAATCACAGATAGATGCTTCGGTTTTCATAAAAGAATATGACCGATCGATCCTGCAAATTATGCTATGCAGAGAAAAACGCGTGAGATTTGATGATGATGAGGATTGAAGGAAAGAAATATGATTGAGACTCGTAACGGAATGGGATGGAAACAAAGAGAAAAAGAAAAAGTTGCAATTGAGAAAATTAAAAGGAGGAGGAAGCCTTCAACTCAGAAAAAGAGAGGAATTTGCCTTCTCTTTTTCCTTGGCTTACGCGCCGGGCCTAAACCCCTGCGTACACGGTGAGTTGGTGGGTCTCACGCTTCCCTACGTGTCCAAACATTATAAGTCCTCCCACCCAATCTTTCTTTGCATGCATGATGTTATCGGTTATCCCCAGTTCATGGGGTCCCCATTTGGTGCTCATCAGGTGATGAGCACCCAGTGCTCATCACTTGATGAGCAATCTGGACGGTCCAGATTTAATATTTTTAAATAATTATTTTAAAATAGAAAAAACTATATTTTTAAAAAATGATAGTTAAGAGATTATCTTTATTTTTTATCCTATATCTATTAAAATAATTATTTTAAAAAAATAAAAATAAAAATAAAATCAGATCTGGACCATCCAAATCAGATCTGGACGGTCCAGATCTGATGAGCACCCAATGCAAATCCTCCCCAGTAACAATAGTAACCCCCCACTTGCACGCATTTCCACCTACTTACGAGTTGTACATGAACTCACCATGAAGCTTCTAGGATTATCATTACGCCATAAATTAAAATGTCCATGATATTTCATTTATTTAACCCTATAATGTGTTCATGCTTGTATGTCTTCGTTAAAAAACATAATAATAATAACAACAAATAATTGACATACAGCTAGAAAATAGAAACATATACGCCTACCTCATCATTTTGATTTAATTTTCATTACCCATTTGTTGGCCCTATTTAAAGGCAGCTATGACTTATGCTTTTTTCAAGTCTCTCCTCCTCTATTATTGTTGCTTCAAAACAAAGTAACAACGCCGCTAGTGGTACTCTCTCTCTCTCTCTCTCTGCACTTCGTCTTCATCAAAGTCTCAGCTCGTCATTTCATAAGCTTATCATATTATGGTTGAGAGCCAACCATGGTGGACCAATCTGATACTGATGCCTAAGGGTTTCAGATTCCGTCCGAGAGATGAAGAACTCGTTGGTCATTACCTCTACCACAAACTGATGGCTGATGATCCTTCCATCCACAACATCATCCCTGAGATTGAGATTTGCAAGTACGAACCATGGGACTTACCAGGTATCATAATCTTCTTCTTCTTCACACCAATATCAATCTGCAGTTTTTTTTTTTTTTTTAAATTGTTCGTACCTCAATCATCTTGTGCTGTGCTGTTTCAGCATTATCGCTGATCAAGTCGGCGGACTCGGAATGGTTTTTCATCAGTCCTCGCGATTACAAGTACTCAAACCGTACTCTGTGTAATAGGACAACATCACGTGGTTACTGGAAACCCACCGGTCAAGAGACGAAAATCAAGGATCGAGTCACCAACAATGTCATTGGGACCAAAAGGACACTAGTTTTCTACCGAGGACGTGCTCCCGGTATTAAAGATAATTGGGTTATTCGTGAATGTCATGATGCCCTCTTCCCTCCCAATCAGGTAAGCTTCGAGCTAGGGGTTTAGAAAGTTTATCATTTATGTGTGTATAGATATTGAACTTCAAGAATTGGAGAGTATATGCAGTACAAAGTTCTCCCAGTTCTGCGCTTATGAAGCAGCCAAAGTGGTTACGACATGAATTTTATGGTTTAAAACTGCCTTACAACTATGATTAGTTGTTTTTCTGGCGATTTCTTACTTTAACGTTTATATTGGGATCTATGATCTGATTGTGACAAAGTAATGCTTGATTATTCTTCCATGTTGCAGAGAGCCTATGTTATATGTAGGTTACTGAAGAAAACTGAGAAGAAACCAAAAGAAAAATCCAATGAACTAGTTCATGATGAACAGGGGCCAAATAACCGTATAGTTGTTGAGTATGAAAATCAAGCAAGTTTGCGTGTGACTCCAGAAGTAAGCACACAACTTCTTGAGCCACTGATGGATATATTGTTTATATATGATGCTGTAGGATGCGAACTAGAGTGAGAGAACTAAAATTTGATTGATATATGACTTAGGTACAGTACTATCCCTCAGATATGGATTCACTGATTCAAACAGCTGGGGAGTCAAATGAGTTTGCAGGCTCATTGATTCAGACACGGCCTAGTGAAGTGAATCCAAGCGTTGAGATGCCACATGATGAGTCAGAAGAAGAATTTGATGTCAGTTCATTACTGCGGTCCCCTTCGAGTTTGGATGAGCTAGAGAGTAACTGGAAATGGTAAATAGCATATATCAGATATGCATTCGCACGCATCAAGAAAGGAAAACTATTTATGTTTAAAGTAAAAAGAATTATGGTGATGTGTACTTTTTTCAGTGTTCTTGTGAGATTTGAGGTTTGGATCTGCGTGATGTTATTGTATGGAGGCAAACACGTGAGGAGGGTTTTGTTTTAGCCATATGTTAGAGACAAGGATTTGGCCTGGAGCTATCTGTTGTATTTAATTTTTAGACCTGAGTCTGTTGTATGTGCTGACCTTCCCTTTCAAGTTTTTATATATCAATGAGGTATAATTTTTTATGAGTAAAAGGGATTTCTTTGTTTATTTTTTGTTTCCTCGGTTAACTTGTTCATTAGTATAAACTACTGACAAAAAAATCTGTCGATTGTTTACGGAATATTATTAGATGCGAAAATGGAAAATAAAATATATACCTCCAAATAAAAATAAAAAAATTGATAATGTTAAACAATAATAATTAAGTTAACGACAGGTTAATAATATTATATATACATATCATTTTGTGTATTCAAAATGACATATTTCTCCTTTTATATACCAACCAGATTGATATTATGGTGTTGAATCATTTCAAAAAAAAAAAAAAGACGAAATCTTGGCAAAGAATAGTTCGAGCAATGACAAATTGAAAAAGAATACACTGCAGAGGTCTGCAGCAAAATTTTTCCATAAAAACGTGATAGTGCGATCAAGTCAATTGATGCTCTTCGATAAACATATCTTCTTTGTAGATTTACGATTGCAGGCAAAAATAAAATATCTCCTTTGTGATTAAACCCTTCAAATTTCTATAATTACTAAAAAATAATGTATAACTGAGGTACGAATTTTATTTAATCAAATATCAATCAATTCTTTTAAAATAGAAAAGCAAGAGAGTTATTTTTTATTATTAAAACGTAAAAACACTCTTTTAAAATAGTATATGGTGCTCCACTAGTATAGTCCTATATATAAGACTATTAAGTTACTTCCTCTGGTCATTTTTATAGGATCTTTTTAATCAAATTACACAGTTTAAAGAAATAGTTAAAATTAAAAAACAATAAATATACCAAAATTAAAAAATTTTCTTCAAATATGCCTCTATTTAAAAAGGAGCAAATAAGAGAGAAATACTATACTATTACTGATACAAAGGGTGAAAGAAAATTTAGTAGAAAAAGATGAATGGAAAGAATAAAAAATTAATTAATGATAAAATTGATAAAAATATATTTAATATTCAAACTCCCCTAAATAAGATAGTGTGAAAAAGACCAAACCAATTCAAATTACAGGATCATATAAAAATCAACCGAGGGAGTACAAATTTTGGAATAGAGCTAATCTTTTTTGTACGTTACACTTCGATGATATGGTACCTAAAAATTTAATCCACCTTTTTCATTTTATTATCCTTATTGATTACACGTTTCTGCATTAATTATCATATGTTGGTCAAGAATTATTCACTCTGTGGGAGACTCTCTTTCTCTTATTTCTTTCTTTTTCCTATACACTCTCTCCCATATTTTTTTTCCAGTCATTCTCTTTCTCCTTTGACCCTCCATAGATAAGGGATATATTTGAATTCAAATAGATTTGTGATCCATTTATTATTTTTAACCAAGTTTAATCAATTTTTTGATCTAAATAATTCAGTTATTTGCATGTGATATATAGGAGTGGAGTGAGTTTTAAATAAGGCGGGTTGTATGAAAGCTAAAACTCTAAAACTTGCTGAGCAAGTAGCTTTGGGAAGTTAAAGGGTATGTTTGGATTGACGTTGGGTAAAATTGACTTCTAACCTAACTGACTTTTGTAACTAAAGTTAGAATAAAAGTCAGTTAGGGTATGTTTAGATAGGTGCTTTTAAAAAGTCAGTTGAAAAAGTTAAAAGTTGTTTGGATGATTAATAGAAAAGTGAGTTTAGTTATAAAATGACGGAAAAGGGCATGGACTTTATTGAATAGTAATGTTTGATATTTTATGTTTTTAATATGATAATTGTAAAAAAAAATACCTAAAATTATTATGATAAAATAAAAATATTTTATTTGTGAAATTATAAAATATTGATTTATTTTGTTCTCAAGTTACCCCTGTAATGATCATACATATTAAGAAATTTTTATTAATGGGTAGTTTTAATACACATGATTAACAAAAATATTTTAGACAAGATAACATCAATTTATTATAAATAAGTAACTTAATTAATTTTATTAATATATTCAAATTAGTTATCTAATTCTTATATTAAAAATATGTAGTATCAAATTATTGGGTTTGTTAGGGGTAATTTTGTCTTTTTCCATTACCATCTTTTCTCTCTCCATGTTTGTGACGGCAAAAGCTCAAAAAATTAGCTTCAACGTTAGGCGTCTTTTTACCCAAAAGTTCATTTGCAAAAACGCTCACCCAAACATTAGTTTGAGCATTTATCTGTTAGTAACACTAGTTTGCGCCATTCCAATACACGTTTTCTATTAAAAACGTTGATCCAAACATGCCCAAAATTGGGGGGGGGGGGAGAGAATCCACATATAGATAGCGGGGTTAATACTTTGAAAGCTAAAACTTGGGCAGCAAGTAGCTTTGCTGTTGGTTTAAATTCTGGCAAAAAAAAAAGAAAAAGAAAAAAATATAGGGTTTAAATTTCAAGAATTCCAAAATATTAAAAATTTTAAACTTGGGAAACAAGTTGTCTTCATTTCCGTTTTCCTTGCGAGATGCCATTCCAGAACCTTCAGGGACGTGTTCCTATTTCGAGATTGGAAATTTGGAATACACAAAATTTTAAAACTTAGGGAACAAGTTTGCAGCACATATAACATAAATCATATATATCTAGTTTTAATACTGTGCTATAGTGATGATGAAGACGTGAGTTTGATGCTCGAAGGAAGAAATGAAGGGGAAAGATAGACTCCCAAAAATTCTCTCCTCTTCTTTGCACAGCACATCTTTAATTAATTTAGTACGTAGAAGTGGATTTTAGCAAATGAAAGTGAAAACATAATGTTTCTTTTTAGAAATATTAAAAAAAATAATGGAGTTGATATGATTTTCGGTCATTAAAATTTAAAGTTATTTGGTTTTAATTTTTTAAATTTTAAATTATAAAATTTAGTTTATTTTAAATGTTAGTTTTTGAAAATATAACAATATTAAATTTTGTTAAAGCGTTGTAATGACATTAAAATGATGGGGTGAAATCACTGTAAAACACAAAGGTAAATTTTGTTTGGATTAAAAAAAAAAAAGGTCCTTCAGGGCCTGTTAAGGGAAAAAAAAAGGTGATAATTTTAATATTAATTTAGCTTGATTTTCACTGCCGATCTGATCTCTAGGCCGGTCTATAAAAGGAGGTGTTCCCGTTGGTGATGCTTCAAGTGATCAAGTCAAGTCAGTCCATTCCTTTCTCTTTCACGCCCTTTTCTTCACTCTCCTCCAGCATCTTCGTCTCCCTCAAATTCTCTGCTTGCCCTGTTCCAACCCCTTCATATATTATTATGGCTGAGACAACCATGACGGATCCAGCTCCGACGCAGAGCGGTGTGCCCGTGGGGTTCAGATTCTGTCCGACCGAGGAAGAGCTCGTCGCTTACTACCTCCGCCATAAACTGATGGCCCATGATCCTTCCGTTTACACCACCTTACCTGACATTGACGTCTGCAAGTTCGAGCCCTGGGATTTATTATGTATTTTATTCCAAATTTTTCTTTCAAATTTTTTGTACCCCAACTTCTTATCATGCTCTGGCCTTTGATTTTGCTCTCTTGTTCTTATCTAGCTCTTGCTACTTCCGCGACTTCGGCGACCAAGTTTGACGACTCGGAGTGCTTTTTCTTCAGTCCTCGTGGTTATAAGTACGCTAACGGTACTCGGTGGAACAGGACAACATCGTGTGGCTTCTGGAAGGTCACCGGCCGAGACCGGAAAATCAGACAAGGCACCAACAATGTCATTGGGATTAAGAGGATTCTAGTTTTTTACGAAGGTCGTTTTCCTCGTGGACGTAAAACTGGTTGGGTTATTCATGAATACCATGATAACATACTTCCTCTGGAGCAGGTGAAAGCGAATTCTCTTTCTGTTTTTTTCATATAAACTGCGTGCCTTAAGAATTGGAGAGTATATGCTGTGCTTCTATTGTAAAACCAAAAGAATTTTCTGGGTTTTAAAAACTTTTTTTCAACTATAGTTACTGAATCTACCGTCAATAATGTTAGTCATCAATTTTCATGAGTTGGAATTAGCTCACGATGCTGTCAGTTATGATGAATAACTCATCTGATTCAATGTTTCTATTAAACTGATTACTGTTAATTCTGATTTTGTGATGTAGTTTTAACAAATGAATGCCTGATTATACTTCCAAATGGTGCAGAGGAACTTTATCTTATGCAGGTTAACGAAGAAACATGAGAAGAAATCGAAAGAAAAAACTATTGACTTTGGGCAAGAATTATTGAGCTCCAAAGAGAGCTCAATAATAACATAAACTTCGAGCATGAAAATCAAACAAATTTCAATATGATTTCAAAGGTGAGCAGAAAGATTCTTGAAGTAATTCACAGATTGTGTTTGAAAGCGTGAAAGAGAATGAAAACTAATGCTCGTTTAATACTGGTTTTAGGAATGTTGTTTATTAAATATGAGCTCACCAACTCAAACCTCTCCCCAGGAGGTTATAGACAACACAGGCACTCAAACTCAATTCCTTTCAAATGAAGACATAGACTCAATGATTCAAGAACTTTCCCAGTCAAATGAAGCTATACCACAAAAACTAAATTCAAGCAGTGAAACACCGCTTGAGTTTGATTACGAAGAGTTGTACTCCAGCTTGGTCGTGTAGTTGGCTCCAACCATGGATGAGAAATGGTTACGGGAAACGACGGCCGCAGCTTCTATGCATTGACATGAAAGGGGGGGCAAAAAAAGCATTTGCATTAGTGTATCTTTTTCCAATTACTTTTCTAAATTCCTGTGATTTAGCACGAAGAATTGTTGTGTATCTTTTTATTGTTATAAATCCTGGTGACTAGTGACTTAACTTGTATTAAATACTGCGTTTAAATTAATGCAAATTTGTATGGCCATAGACAATTGTTTCGTTTCCTCTATGATTAACAGATGCTATAGCATAAACTATTGATGGGAAGAATTCTGGTGTAAATGGAATATTAAATATAGTAAGAGACAATAAACAAAATAATAATCATGTTAACTACTACTTTTTTTTTCTTTTCTTTTTATAAATAAAAACACAGGACATTATATCCATCATGTGCGGAGCCCACAACCATCCAGAGGATTTAATTGTCATTGTGACAATTGGCCTTTTTTTTTTCCAGTTGCTTATGTGAATGTGTTCGGCGCTTGGCATTGAGAGAGAAGGTGAATGAATATTACATCCAATGTGATAGCTTTACGATCAAAGCAAAATGGAAAAGTGGAGAATAAACTAACGAAATGAAAAGAAGCGTAACAAATCAAACAATGGAACAAAATGGGAGCATAAAACAAAAACGAGTCAAGGAATATGAGGAAATGGAAGAAGGAGACGCGCCAGGCAAAAGTTAGTGGGGTCAATACTCTCAAAAGCTAAGACTTGGGGAGCACGTCTTAGCGTATAGTATGTACACACAAGAATTGCCATTTACAAAAGACAACCCCCCAAAGACTTTTTTTTTTCCTTTTTTATTGTCCTCCTCTCCCCTTTTCTTTTATTGTAAATCCGCTTGACTTTTAGCATTCTTACAAGAATAATATTCTGTTGGAGTTATTAATTTTCTGGTATTTCAATTAATTGAGTTTAGTGATATAGCTGTTGGGTTCTTCTAGTTTGAAGAAGATTCTATCTATTCCTATGATCGTCAAGTTCATTATCCGTCACTTATAAATTTATTGTTACTATCTAATGGGCTCATGAATATGAATTTCATTTGGATGACATTCCGTGCATTTTCAATTTAAAGATGGTTATCAATTATAGCAGTATTCATGCATGTTTACACGCCGACCAAAATGAGAATGGCAAAATGAAAAAAATGAGTTGATTGGGGTGACCGAGGGTTGAACTCGGGCCCTCAATAACTCAGCAAAACTATGCGACCCACGCTTTAGCCAACTGCGCAATGGGGGGCGTGCATGTTTAGCCGTTTTCCATGGTGTGAGATTTGAGAAAGTATGTTTTTTTATTTCTTTAAATTTACTGTATGAATGTACTGCTCCCCGTCCTAATTATAAAAACCAGTTGACTAATTTGAGAAGATTAAAAAGTAAGTTGAGTTAGTTATTTGTCCTAAATAGGTGTTATCTTTTCTAAAATATTCTTGCTAATCAAGTGTATTAACTAGAACTATTATTGTTAGAAGGGCTATTTTAAAATAAAATGTATAAATATGAGAGACAAAATAGATTGGGTTCTTATATTTAGGACCAAATAAAATTAAATAGGATCTTATATTAAAGACCGGAGGTAGTATATTTTTGTTCTTAATTTATATTTTCTATAAAACATTATTTTTTTAAAGTATATATATTAAAAGGAGTAAAGCAAAAATTAGGGTTAAGGTGCATTCAACATCCTTAATATTTTTCTTAGATACATGTAGCATCTTAAAATATTTTGAGGTGCATCTAGTCCTGAATGTTTTTCAAGTACGTCAAACACCTTAAAGTATTTTTTTGTATATTAGTATTGGATGCATCAAAAAATATTTTAGGATATTGGATACATCTAAAAAAATATTTCACATTGCTAAATTACCCAAAAAAATATTTTAAGATACTGGACATACTTAAAAAAGATGTTTTAGAGTGTTAGATATACTATAAAATATTTTAAGATGTTGGGTGGATTTAAACTTACAAAATTAAATACTCCTCCGGTCCTTAATATATACCTAATTGTTAAGTTAATTTGAGTTCTAAATATAATATCTATTTTTCATATTAGCATTACGATGACTTTCTAAAATAAGCATACACAAAATCCTTCTTTGATGGGCTGATTGGCGTGATGGGCTTTCTTTGGTTACACAAGTGATGAGCTTTTCAACCCAAAGATGATAGTAATTCAAGAGACATAGTTTGAGATAAAAATATAAACTTTTTGGGCCTGAATTTTTTTCTTTTGGGTTGGGGCAATCTGGAAACCTTAGAAAAAAGCTACCTACCATTTTTTTTGTTGCTTCGCTATTCTTCCTCTCTTTTTCCTTTTTGTATCGTGGAATCTGCACATGTTGCTTTGTTCTTAGGCAACAACAAACCTAGTGCTTATGGGATGACAGTCTATTATTCTTTCGTTTTTTTTTCTACGGCGTTTTGAATAGTTCGTGACAAATTCTGATGATTCAAATGGGTTTTCTTCAGATCTCCTGATCTCAAGCATCCTTAACAACTCCACCTACTGGCTGTGAGGAAAGCGGTTTTTGAGTCTTCTTAGTCCCAATGACATTTTTGGTACCTGATTCTCAATGTCCCTAGAATTTTGTGGAGCTTTAGGACACAATGTCATTGGTACCTAGAATATTTTGTAGTTACCTCTCCTGGCAACCCGATAGGCCTTGTGCTTTGACAAGAATGAAACTACGACATTGATGTGCTTAAGATTAGTCACAAGAATTGAAAAGGCCTGTTTATTTACTGTTGCTTACCTTGATTAGCATGGAGCTTTAGGACACAATGTCATTGGTACCTAGAATATTTTGTAGTTACCTCTCCTGGCAACCCAATAGGCCTTATGCTTTGACAAGAATGAAAACTACGACATTGATGTGCTTAAGATTAGTCACAAGAATTGAAAAGGCTGTTTTATATTACTGTTGCTTACCTTGATTAGCAGTGTCTTTCATGCGATTGCAAGCCAGAGTATGTTATTGTTATAGTGGTTCTATATATTTTGAAATTTACTTCAAAATATGATTATGCGCCCAATTTTTCAATCTGAATTGTTTGGCGAAAAGAATTTATCATTAATATCCCCGGAGAGGAGATAGATGCCCTAGAAACATGGAGTAGCCTGTCTTAACAGAGATGCTGATGCATCATTTGAAGAAATGCTTATTTTAACTCCCTATATGATGTATTCTGTAGGCTCTGAAGAAAAAAATGATTAGTGAAATCAAATTGTAATCAGAAAAAATCTTAGTGGGAGGAATTGGAACCCCAATGATAGGGTTACTTTCATTCTGTAGTGTCATCTGATGTCCTGCCGTGTGATTAAATGTTATGATATGACTAATGTAGTGTTGTTGACTCATCTGTGCAGGCGAACATTTCCACCTGCAGCAAACTCAAAAAGTTTCTCTAGAGCAGTGTTGAAGAAAAAAAGCAGCTTATCTACTGAAAGCTGGGTTGTCTTTTTACTGAAAGCTGTTCATAATTCTCTATATAATTGCTTTTCGGGATCAAAACCTAATCAGCTTTAGAAATTTTTGTTCATATTCAACAAAGATCTTTAACAGTTCTTTCTTTCGGGCCTGAACAAAGATCCTTAACTAACTGCTATTATGGTCGGATAATGAGAGATTATTTAAATGTGTAGCTGCTTTCGCTATCAAACAAGATAACCAAATTGACGGCAGATTTCCCTCATGCTCTGGGTCAGGTCATCGGCTCTGAAACAGAGGAAGGGCTTGTTTTAGAGGAATCAAGTTAGCTTGGGATATGGGCTTCAAAAAAGGTCCTTGAATCGGATTCAAAAAAATCTGGTGGATGTGATTGTCAACAACAGAAACAGCAACATCTACAGCCTAGTGGTCATCCAGATTCCAGAGATGCTGATGTTAAATTGGAAAGTGCCGATTTTACACATTTCTAGAGGCCGATATTGCCTCCCTGATTCTCTTACGAGGAATGGGTTATTGAAATCGGATTTCTTTGCATCTTGTCTGACTCATCTTCGGACCTTAGGTGTTGAAGAGTGTCTGGGATCAAGATTCTCCCCTGCTTAGTTTTTTCTTCATCGACCTCTAGCCCACTTTTTTAACTAAAAAAAAGTGTTGGTTGCTACTTCTCAGGAACTTGGCTTCATAAATTAGTCGATATTACTAGTCTAACATTTCAGAGGGCATTGAGATGAGAGAGATGCCAGTGTTTTGACTTAAAATTTCAGCTGCTGCTAATCAGAGAAAAAATTGCATCATTTTGAATCTTCAGAATAATCCATTGGACCAATGATGAAGTATTTAGCTGGTCAGAACTCAATTGAGGGTGAAGTGAGGGTAACAATTCAAGAAAGAACACAGTCATTGTTGAGATACTCCTTCAGTACTTAATATAAAACCCATTTAATTAATTTGATTTGATTAAGAAAGTTAGGTAAGTTAGTTAATTATAAAAAAGTGATACTTTTTTCCTAAAACACTATAATCATCTTTCTTAATACCCCTCTCCCTCTTTTACATGATTATGGTTGAAGGAGTATCTATAGGGTTAATTTAGAAAAAATTAATAAATATGAGAAATGAGTCTTATATTTAGGATCAAAACCAACTCAAGAATTGTGTCTTATATTAAAGACTGGAAAAGTACCATTCTGGAATCTTCGACTATTTTTCTCTGTTCTGAAACATTACCATCATCATATCCACATACGCGGTCATTGCTGGGGAAATGTTATCATGCGGGAGATTCCATTGATGCCCTTGCTTCCTGGTTTCCTTTTCGGCTTTTTTACTTTGTGCAAGTTCTAGTGGGCATAACTTTTAGTACTTTATTATATCTTTGATAAGATGTACAAAATGAAGTTAATTAAAGAGGGTCCACAAATGATGAACTCTCTATGCATCTCCCTTTGCAATTGTCACTGAATGCCGCGTGGAATTAAAAATTATTATGACATAACCTTAGGGCTAGATGAAATGGACCAAGGAAACCTTTATCTGCCTGTTTGGATCAATGTTCGTTGGGCCAGACATCACTTAATCTGAGCATAAACCTGTTTGGACAATGAGAGGATGTTTGCGAGAGCTTTTGAGACTTTACTTTTAGACCAAAAGCCAGATTAAATCGTGCGTTTTGATAAGCTAAAGGGAGAGAGCTTTTTCAGAATTGTGCTTATGGCATCAGATGGTTTTTCCTCACTCCTCCTCATTTATTCTTGTCTTATTATTCTCCTCACTTCTCCTCATTCGTTCCCCATATGCTCAAACCTCCTCCTCAATTAATTAATTACATAATATTATTTTGTTTAACTTTGTTACAATACATAAATTTTAATTTTAATTTATTTCATCCATTCAAACTATGTTTCACTCTATGTTTGCAATAATTTTTTTATGATATCTCTGATGTTTTAAGATATATTTCAGTTATGAAATCTCACTTCTTCATATTTAAATAATTTAATTTATTGTATTATGTACATTTTTTTAATAATTTATCATTTTTTCAATAACACTCATACTGATTTGGGTAATTGTAAAAATTAAATTTACTAATTTTAATTTATCATATTATGTAAATTTTTTTTTTTATTATTTTCCATTATCTAATAAAACTCAAACCCATTTTGGTAATTATACAAACTAAACTTACTTTTATTCAATCATAATCTAAACAACTATTTACCCAATCTAATTTTTACAAACTAACTTTTATAAAATTCGATCCAAACACAATTCACATAACTCAATTTAACTTTTACGTAACTTCACTTTTTTAAAAGTCAAATTGACAAGTTACTTTTTCAATCGCTAATCCAAATGGATTCTACACGTATATCGTCGTTTTTTATGCGATCACACTTCTATCGCACACGGAAGATTGAACTCAAAACAGGCGTCTAATATTATTGGGTTGGAACGTAGAAAGTCCTGACAAATTTTATTTCATATATTGATAAACATGCGCTCACAGTTTGTTTAAATCTTGCTGAGAATAGCATTAATACTGAAACAAATAGCCTATCTATTTTAAGGAAGAAGAGCAAAATCAAATATGTTGGAATAAGAAACGGAAAGCTTCATTAATTTGTTACACAAAGATTAAGACAAATCGCAAATAGATGCTTTGGTTTTCATAAAAGAATATGAGTGATCGATCTTTCAAATTATGCCATGCAGAGAAAAACGCGTGAGATTTGATGATGATGAGGAGGACTAAAAGAAAGAAATATGATTGAGACTCGTAACGGAATGGGATGGAAACAAAGAGAAAAAGAAAAAGTTGCAATTGAGAAAATCAAAAGAAGGAGGAAGCCTCCAACTCAGAAAACGAGAGGAATTGCCTTCTCTTTTTCCTTGGCTTACGCGCCGAGCCTAAACTCCTGCGGACCCGGCGAGTTTGTGGGTCCCACACTTGACTACGTGTCCAAGCATTACAATTTACAAGTCCTCCCACGAATCTTTCTTTGCATGCATGACGTTATCGGTTATCCCCAGTAACGTTAGTATCACACCCACCTGCACACATTTCCACCCACATTCCTACTTACGAGTTATGTATGAACTCACCATGAAGCTTCTAAGATTATTCGTTATGCCACAAATTAAAGTGTCCGTTCATGATATTTCATTTATTTAACCCTGTAACGTGTTCCTGCTTGTATGTCTTCGTTAAAAAAATAATAATAACAACAACAAATAATTGCCACACGGCTAGAAAATAGGAACATATATGCCTACCTCATTTTGATTTAATTTTCATTACCCATTTGTTGGCCCTATTTAAAGACAGCTATGACTTATGCTCAGTTCAAGTCTCTCGTCCTTCATTATTGTTGCTTCCAAACAAAGTAACAACGCCGCAAGTGGTTCTCTCTCTCTCTCTCTCTCTCACACACACACCCCCTTCGTCTCCATCAAAGTCTCAGTTCGCCTTTCATAAGCTTATCAGGTTATGGTTGAGAGCCAACCATGGTGGACCAAGCTGATACTCTGATGCCTAAGGGTTTAAAATTCCGTCCGACCGATGAAGAACTCGTTGGTCATTACCTCCACCACAAATTGATGGCTGATGATCCTTCCATCCACAACATCATCCCTGAGATTGAAGTTTGCAAGTACGAACCCTGGGACTTACCAGGTATCATAATCTTCTTCTTCTTCTTCACGCCAATATCTATCTGCAGTTTTTTTTTTTTTAAATTGTTCATACCTCAATCATCTTATGCTGTGCCGTTTAATTTTGCCTTCTCTTTTTTCTTTCTCGGGTTCTTCCCCCAACTTGTGCTGTTTCAGCGTTATCGCCGATCAAGTCGGAGGACTCGGAATGGTTTTTCTTCAGTCCTCGCGATTACAAGTACTCAAACAGTACTCGGTGTAATAGGGCAACATCACGTGGTTACTGGAAACCCACCGGTAAAGAGAGGAAAATCAGGGATCGAGTCACCAACAAAGTCATTGGGACAAAGAAGACACTTGTTTTCTACCGAGGACGTGTTCCTGGCGTCAAAGATAATTGGGTAATTCATGAATATCATGATGCCCTCTTCCCTCCAGATCAGGTAAGCCTCTAGCAAGGAGTATATAAGCTTTATCATTTATGTGTTTATACATATTAAACTTCAAGAATTGGAGAGTATATGCAGTACGAAGTTCTCCCAATTCTGTGCTTATGAAGCTGCCGAAGTAGTTATGACATGAATTTTATGGTTTAAAACTGCCTTACAACTGTGATTAGTTGTTTTTCTAGCGATTTCTGACTTCAACGTTTATATTGAGGTCCATGATCTGATTGTGACAAAGTAATGCTTGATTATTGTTCCATCTTGCAGAGAGCCTATGTTGTATGTAGGTTACTGAAGAAAACTGAAAAGAAAACAAAAGAAAAATCCAATGAACTCGTTCATGACGAACAGGAGCCAAATAACCGTATAGTTGTTGAGTATGAAAATCAAGCAAGTTTGCGTGTGATTCCAGAAGTAAGCACACAAATACTGATAGATATATTGTTTATAAATGATGCTGTAGGATGCGAACTAGAGTGAGAGAACTGAAATTTCATTGATATATGACTTAGGTACAGTACTCTCTCTCGGATATGGATCCACTGATTCAAACGGCTGGGGAGTCAAATGAGCTTGCAGGCTCAATGATTCAGACAGGGCCTACTGAAATGAATCCAAGCGTTGAGACGCCACATGATGAGTCAGAAGAAGAATTTGATTTCAGTTCATTATTGCGGTCGCCTCCAAGTTTGCCTCCAAGTTTGGACGAGCAAGAGAGTAACTGGAAATGGTAATAGCATATATCAGATATGCATTGGCACGCATCAAGAAAGGAAAACTACTTATGTTAGAGTGAAAATTATTATTATGGTGTGTATCTTTTTTTTTCAGTGTTCTTGTGAGATTTAAAGTTTGGATCTGCGTGATTTTATTGTGTGGAGGTAAACGCTTGAGAAGGGTTTTGTTTCAGCCATGTTAGAGACAAGGATATGGCCTGGAGATATCTGTTTGTATTTAATTTTTAGACCTGAGTCTGTTGTATGTTGTGACCTACCCTTTCAAGTTTATATATATCAATGCGGTATAATTTTTTATGACTAAAAGGGATTTTTTTTTATTTTTTGTTTCCTTGATTATGACGTGTTCATTTGTATAAACTACTGACAAAAAAAAAATCTGTCGATTATTTATGGAATATTATTTTATGTGAAAATGGAAAATAAAATATATACCTCCAAATAAAAATAAAAATTGATAATGTTAAGCAATAATAATAAAGTTAACCACAAGTTAATATATACACACACACCAAGCAGATAGATCATTGATATTATGTTGTTGAATTATTTTAAAAAAAAAGAGGAAATTTTGACAAAGAATAGTTTGAGAAATGACAAAACAGAATATACTGCAGAGGTCAGCAAAATTTTTCCATAAAAACGTGGTAGTACTATCAAGTAAATTGATGGTCTTCGATAAACATATCTACAAGGCAAAAATAAAATATCTCCTTTTAAAATAGTACATGGTGTTCCACTAGTATAATCCTATATGTAAGACTATTTAGTTACTCCCTCGAGTCATTTTTCATAAGATCTTTTTAACCGAATTACATAGTTTAGAAAAACAGTTAAAATCAGTTAAAAATAATAAATATATCAAAATTAAACTTTTTTTCAAATATGCCCCTATTTAATAAAGGAGCAGAAATATTATCCTATTAATAGGATAAAGGGTGAAAGAAAATTTAGTAGAAAAAGATGAAGGGAAAGAATAAAAAATTAATTAATGATAAAATAGATAAAAGTACATTTAATATCTAATATTTAGAGTCTCCTAAAAAAACTGGTTAAAAAGGCCAAACCAATTCAAATGTTGGGATTATATAAAAATCAAAGGAGAGGGTACAATTTTTGGAATAGAGCTAATCTTTTTTGTAAGTTACACTTTGTTGATATGGCATCTAAAAATACAATCTACTTTTTTCATTTTTATTATCTTATATTATTTCTTTTTTTTTTATACATTCTCTGCTATATTTTTTTTTTCCAATCATTCTCTTTATCCTTCGACCCTCCATAGATAAGGGATATATTTGAATTCAAATACATTTGTTATCCATTTATTATTTTTAACCAATTTCAATCAATTTTTCGATCTACATAATTCAGTGCATGTGATATATAGGAGTGGAGTGAGTTTTAAATAAGGCGGGTTGTATGAAAGCTAAAACTCTAAAACTTGCGGAGCAAGTAGCTTTGGGAAGTTAAAATAGGAAAACAAAAATCTATATATAGATAGTGGGGTTAATAGTTGGAAAGCTAAAACTTGGGGAGCAAGTAGCCTTGCTGTTCATTTCATTCATTCCAGGTCCAGAAAGCCATAATATTATTACTGACTTCACAGTAGTCGTTTTTTTTTAATGCGTTTGGCATTCAGCTTTAATTTTTCTATTCCTCATTTCTTCCTTACCCTCTGCTTTTCATCACAATTTTCTCCTTCGTTCTTTCCCCTTCTTTTCTTCTGCCAATAATGCTACCTGCGCCCTGCTACGACGACCTTAATTAGTAGAAAAGTGGAGTGTTCTTGGTCCCAATGACATTGTTGGTATTCTTGGATTGACGTCAAGCTTTAATTTGGAACACAACAATGTCATTGGTGTCTACAGTATTCTGCACTTTCCTCTCACCGTAATGAAACTTGGGTTAAAGTCCAATTTTATCTAAAAAAATTTCGGATTGTAGATTTCCGAAAGTTTTTTTAATCAATACCATCCTGAGAATTTTAAAAGAAAGCAATTTGATCCCTAACATTTAAAAATGTTAATTGTCAATCTTAGTTTTTAATCATTAAAGTCAATTTTTTAACATGTCAACAGTTAGGACTACCTTGCTCCCTTTCTAATACTTTTAGAGTGATACTAAACCCAAGAAAACTTTCAAATACCTACAGCTCTTATACAAAAACTTTTGGGACAAAAATAAATCTTAATCCATGAAAGGTCAACATTTTTTTGGTTGAGATATATTCATAGTTAAAATTGCATGCGGTGATTTTGGGTTATCATAATGCTTATTATTCTATTAACCATTGTATCTGCACATGTACATTATGATTTCAAGCCAAAAGATAAGTTTTTTTTTTTTGAAAAATTATATATGTATTTGATATTATACTGACCTAAATTAAACCACCATTCAACTCAAATATAATGGAACTTTCTAAATACAAAATTATCGTTGGTCCAATTATTGTCACTTTTCTTCTACGGGTTCTGAGAGTTTCCTTAAAATATGATTAGTGTTTTCCCATGACGACTACTCCCACTTATTCATAATATAATATCTTAGTTAAGTTTAAATTTAAAAAAATGTTAGTTAAGTCATTAAACTTATTTTTAATTGATAAAAGTTATTTATTTTATTCATATTAAAAAATGTAACTGAAAATTCCTCTGATCTTTCCTGTATTTAGGACTCTCTCTCCAGTGAAGAGTTATGTTAGTTTTTCTCTGAGTAAAAGTGCTAAGGTCACTTTGTGTGAGTCACCTCGATGGTGTTCAGTCCTGGCACTAGAAACTTTTCAGCCCCTTTCTCTGTTTAGGTGCTCTGAACAGGGGAAGGTTTGTCTCTCCAATCTTTTGTCAGCTATTCAGCACAGTTCGTAGGAATGGACAGTAGTAAGATGGCGATTCATTTTTGATGGAAGGACGGGAATGAAGAAGAGGGAAGTCAGAACGTTCTGGTTGGAAAAATCTTTTCCAAAGCAAAGATTGGTTACGCGACGGTGCAGAGTGCAGTCTCGATAGGTTGGAAACTCCAAGGGAACTTAGAAATAAAATCCCTTGGGTACAAACTCTACTCCTTTACTTTCCAAAATGAATATGAGACGGACATAGTCGTAGATGAGAACCCCTGGACTGTGCGCAATCATATGTTAAGTCTCCACCATAGGAAAGTGTTTATAGGGGATAATGAGATTAATTTCAAGGACTATGTTTTTAGGGTACAATTCCACAATCTTCCTTCGGCAAGGAGATTGGCAGAGAATATGAAGAGCATGGCCAGTGTTATTCGTAAGGTCCTGGAAATTGAAGATCTGGAGGACGTAAAGTTTGCTGCACGAAGTTTCTACCGAGCCCGAGTGGAGTTAGATATAGAGAAACCTTTAGTGCCAGGTTTCAGTATACCTAGGCCGAACAATCTAACAGATGCTTGGGTACAGGTGAAATATGAAAAGCTTTTGAGGTTTTGTTTTACTTGTGGGAAACTTGGACATGAAAGTAGAACTTGGGAAGAATTAGTGGAGGATGATGATAATGAATCTTAGGATAAAGTTTTTTATTTAAGTATGCGTGGCCCAGTGTATCGAAGATTTTCTCCGGCGGCCATGACAGGGAATATGAACCGAATTTTGGCAACTAATAATTTGCATGGGGAAAGTGCAAGTCTTGAATCGTTGCATGGGAATCCACGTATGGGATATGGTTCCAAGAATGAGGGAGGGAAACAAATGGGGACATGTGGAGAAAGTTCAGGAACTGATGAGAAGGCTGAAAATAACTCTTTAAAAGTGAGGGTGAATATAAACAAAAATCTAAATGGCAATTGTATTGACAGAGGCCCATCTTCACTTTCTCATGTGCCTAATTTGATGATTGCTAATATGGGCTGTGGAACCCAAGCCCAAGTTCGCTTCAAATAAACCCAAAGATTGAATCGACGGGTATCAGGATCCAAGAAATCCCTTTATCTCATGATGCCTTCATAAATCCAGATCTACAGATTCCTACGAGCATATACCCATATCGCGTGGAGCTAGCTGATAAAGACGAGAAAGGTGAGTTATCGATCAGTTCTCCTATATCAAAAGCACCTTCTCATGAGATTGGGATCCTAGAATCAAAGTTTAGAAGCATTAACTTGAAACGAAGTGCGGATGAAAAGTGGGACTCTTCCCAAGCAAAATGAAGGAAAGATTTCAAGAATGAGTCTCCAAGAAAGGCTGGTAGAAGGGGTCAGGCTATTGAGTATCTAAATCACCTAGCTGAAGTGGGGGCTGGAAGGATTTTAGGTTATATACTTATAAAAGTGTGCTCTCTCTCTCTCTATTGGTACTAATACTCAAAAAGTCCAACAGGCTCTGGTTATCGTAGACGAGTCAAAAAATCTCTCTTCTCTCATAAGAATAATAATTCTGCTGGAGTAGCTGGGGAAGACATTACTGGGGCTATTGTGGTGCTAAATAGGGGAATTAATGATAACCAAAATAAAGAAAAGGGGATCCTAAAGAAGCCCAAAAAGTTGACAAAGTTGAAGGGCTCAGCAGCTGGCCTAAAATAGCCGTTGGGGAGCTACGAGTTGCCTAAGTTGGAATTGTCAGGGTCTTGGAACTACCCTGACAATTCAAAACTTAAAGTTCCAATGTGGGAAATTCAAACCCCTGATTGTCTTTCTTTCAGAAACCAATATGAAGCGAGAAAGGATTGAGAAATTGAGAAGGAAATTAAAATTTGATTATGGTGAATACTTCAATCCTATTGGGCAATCTGGAGAATTGGTTGTATGGTGGAAAGAAGAAGTCAAACTGAAAATAGGAATTGTTAGTAGATTTTTTGTACATGTAGAAGAGGTTAATGTGGGTGGGGTTGATTTTGGCAATATTACAATGGTGTATGGCCCACAAGATTATGGTCAGAAAATAAGATGGTGGGCTGCTTTGGAAAAATTAAAGCCTACAAGCCCTACCCCTTGGCTCGTTTTGGGTGATTTCAATGATCTATTGTATTTGTTTGATAAAGAGTGAGGAAGGGAGTGCTCTTTAAGGGATTTGGACAGATTTAGAAGGTTTTAATGAATTATGATTTGATGGAGGTTGATTTGAAAGGGGGAAAATTCACCTGGATGATAATAGAGAAGGTGAAGGTTTTATATGTCCAAAATTAGACAGAGCAATCGCTAATGTAGAGTGGAGAGCACAATTTGAGAATGGACATGGCCACATTCTTGAAAGTGTTGGTTCTGATCATTGTCCGATTATAGTAAGACCTTTCCTTAAAGAAGAAAAAAACCCCATTCTTGTTTAGATTTGATAGCAGGTGGTTAGAACATCCTGATTTAATGAAACTGATCAAAGACAATTGGAATCTAAATGAGGACTCTGGTTTATTGGTTAGTTTTGTTGAATCTCTGGATAAACTTCGAGATATCCTAGTAAAATGGAGCAAGAAGGAATTTGGAAATTGCAAAAAAGTCCTGAATAGATTGATGACAAAAATTTAGAAATGCCTAGAAAAGGAATGGAATTCAAAGACTGCAAAAGAAGTAGAGGAGTTAAAAGGCAAAATTAATAAAATATGGGATCAGGAGGAGGAATTTTGGGCTCAAAAGTCATGGGTTGACTAGCTAAGACTTAGAGATCAAAATACAAAATTCTTCCATTTGTCAACGGTAAAAAGAAGATGTAGGAACAAGATTACCAAAATAAGGAAAGGGGATAATGAATGGATAGAAAGTGAAGAAAACATAGCTGACTGTTGTGCTACTTTTTATCAGAACTTGTTTGCTTCCAATGGTGAGCGGGACTTCTCTGATGCTTTAAATGTTATGAACCCAGTTATTTCAAGAGAGGATAATGACCGATTAATGGCTAAAATTTCTGATTAGGAAGTCAAAGTGACAGTCTTTCAATGGGAGGTATGAAGGCCCCTGGACTATATGGCTTTACTAGACTATTCTATCAAAAATCTTGGGATATCATCAGAAGCCAGGTATGTGCATTAATCAGAAATTTATTTAAATATGGATCTCACCATCATGAACTCAATGCCACTGACCTTGTGCTCATACCAGAGATTGATAGCCCAAAGTCAGTCAATGATTACAGGCCTATTAGTCTTTGTAATCTCCTTTATAAGATTTTCTCTAAAGTTCTGTCTAATAGATTGAAACCCCTTTAAAATGATATTATTGACGGGTGGCAGAGAGCCTTTGGTCCTGGAAGACTAATACAAGATAATGTTATTGTGGTTCATGAAGTTTTTCATCATATGAAGCTGAAAAGAACTGGTCAACCCAGAGGTTGCTTTGAAACTAGACATGAATAAAGCATATGATCGAATCGAATGGGATTTCTTGTGTGCTGTTCTGCTTAAGATGGGGTTCTGTCGGGGTTGGGTGGAAAGGATATTGGCATGTATTGGCTCTGTAGATTTTTCTATCATGCTGTCTGGTAAAAGGGTCTCTAGAGTGTATCCTAAGAGGGGATTAAGGCAAGGAGACCTCCTATCTCCATACCTGTTCATTCTTGTTTACAACATTTTATCTCTTCTATTGAAGAATAATGAGTCTCTGGGTCTAATTAAAGAAATAAAAGTGGCGAGAAACTGTCTAGAAATTTCACATAGTCTCTTTGCAGATGATTATGTATTGTTTATTCAAGCTAATTTGGACTATTGTAGAAATCTTTGGGACATCCTTGGAATTTATTGTCAGGCTTCAGGGCAAGCTATAAATTTTAACAAATCCTGCCTCTTTTTCTCCTCCAATGCACCTGGTTCTCTTAAAGAGGAAATAGGACAAATTTTTCAAGTTCATCTAGTTGACATACCTGGGAATTATTTGGGTCTTCCTGTTACTTGGGGGTGTTCTAAAACACAAATGCTACACTTTGTTGTTGATAAACTCAAAAAGAGAACTCAAGGGTGGTAGAGGAATTTTGTGTCTGAAGCAGGTCATGAGGTGTTGATTAAGTTAGTAGGCAATTCAATTCCTATTTATCCTATGTCCTGTTTTTTGTTTCCAAAAAATGTTTTGAAGCAACTAGATAAAATTATCTCATCTTTTTTGTGGGAAGAGGATGATAATAGAAAGAAAATTCACTAGACTTCTTTAGACATATTAAAATATCATAAAATGGACGGAGGCTTGGGATTTAAAGACTTTGAGGCTTTTAATCTTGCTTTTCTTGCTAAACTCGGATGGTGCATATTGCAACACCCTGATCAACTTTGGGTCAAAGTATTAAAAGCAAGATATTTCCCTAAATGTGGTTTTCTGTAGGCCCCTAAAGGAAGAACAACTTCTTGGATCTCGTCTAGTATTATTGAAGGAAGGAGAGTATTGGAAGGCAATGTGATGGTTCGTATTGGAGAAGGAAGAAGAACAAATTTTTGGAGCAACCCATGGATTCCATCTCTCCAAGGTAAGAAACTTAACTCTCAATGCCCCCATGAATCTTTAAAAAAATATATCTGTAGCTGATCTCAGAAGAAACGGGAGGTGGAATTTATTTACTGTAGAAGGCTGGATCTCTCGAGTAGAGAAAGAGGCCATTATTTCTACAATAGTTCTATGGAGGAGTAGGGATGACTTGTGGATTTGGACGAGAAGCAAGAAAGGTGAATATGAAGTTAGAGAGGGTTATCTAATTGCGAAATCAATTGTGCTTAGAAGATTTGATAATCTCACTGGTTCATCCTTACATAATCACATAAGTTTTTGGAAGGAAGTTTGGAGTGTGGAAGTTCCATATAAAATGAGAAATTTTCTTCGAAAATTTGCGTCCAATTCCTTGCCAACCTTCAGTAATCTTCACAAGAGGAAATGTGCCATTACCGATTTATATATCCTCTATAGTCAGTTAGTTGAAGATTCCTTCCATCTATTCTTGGGATGTGAATGGGTGATGCCCGTGCGGTTTGGTAGTCCTTTTACTTTAGATGTTAGAAGGGTTGAAACTCAAGACATGAGGAATTTTTTGCAACATTGTCTCTGTGATTTGGGTCTAGCAAATGATCAAAAGGCTATGATTGCAACTTTACTATGGTTTATTTGGAAGAGCTGTAATGCTTTTATTTATTAAAATATTCTTCCAAACCCTTCTTATGTACTGATGCAGGGTTCTGATTCTGTGAAGGATTTTTAGATGGCAAACAGAAAGTTCGGATTACAAGAAGATCACCACCAAATAAAAGTCAAATCTCCTAGGAATCAATGCTGGTCTCGCCCAGAAAGTAACTTTCTTAAATTCAATACAGACTGTACGATAGATAGTGAATCTGGGAAAGCTGCTGTTGCCTTTATACTAAGAGATTCTAATGGATGGATTCTTGATGGAGGGACAAGAGTCATGATCAGAATCGGTTCTGATGGCTGAACTCACTGCTTTGATGGATACCTTTAGTTACCCTATTGAAAACCAATTAGATGATGTTATTTTTGAATCGGATAGCAAAGTGCTGATTGATTGCCTTAATAAGGAATCATTCTTATGTTTGGATTCCCAGGAAAGCAAATATGGCAGTGGATTGGGTGGCCAAAGCTTCATTGAAGGGGTCGTGTCCGCATGGCTGGATTTAGAGACCTCCTTCTGCACTAAGGACTATTTTGGAGAATGATGCTCATAATTAGATAACTGGAGTTGGATAGCTGTTTTGTGTTTGATGACTTTGTTACCTAGTACTCGTGTCTAGTTGAGTTAATGAATACTTTTTGCTTGCCAAAAAAAAAAATTTTAGGACTCTCTCTCCTTATGCAAGAAACTTTAATGTGTAAAGTTGAAAAAAAAAATTCAATTTGAAACATATTTAATAAATCAACGACCTTTTTTTGATTCTAATAAATTAATTAAAGTGATTTAAATTATACGCATGAGGAGTATTTGTTACAAAAGAAATCTCTTAGCGAGTAGTGGGAAGAGAACATATATAAAAAGGTGGGAGAGCATAGCTAAATTTTATACTTTTATTGCCATCCGAGAATAGGGTCTAAATTCTGGCAAAAAAAAAAAAGAATATAGGTTTTAAATTTCAAGAATTCCAAAATATTAAAAATTTAAACTTGTGAAGCAAGTTGTCTTCATTTCCGTTTTCCTTGCGAGATGCCATTCTAGAACCTCCGGGGACGTGTTCCTATTTCGAGATTGGAATACACAAAATTTGAAATCTTAGGAAACAAGTTTCCACCACATAAAACATAAATCATATATATCTAGTTTTAATATTGTGCTATAGTGATGAGAAAGACGTGAGTTTTTGGAAATATGAAAAAAAAAAAAAAAAAAGGTGATAATTTTAATTTTAATTTGAAATGATTTTCGCTGTCGATCTGATCTCGAGGCCGGTCTATAAAAGGAGGTGTTCCCGTGGGTGACGCTTCAAGTGATCCAGTCCAGTCCAGTCCATTCCTTTCTCTTTCAAGCCCTCTTCACTCTCCTCAAGCATCTTCGTCTCCCCCAAATTCTCTGCTTGCCCTCTTCCAACCCCTTCATACATTATTATGGCTGAGACATCCATGACGGATCCAGCTCCGATGCAGAGCCTTGTGCCTGTGGGATTCAGATTCTGTCCGACCGAGGAAGAGCTCGTCGCTTACTACCTCCGCCACAAATTGATGGCCCTTGATCCTTCCGTTTACACCACCTTACCTGACATTGACGTCTGCAAGTTCGAGCCCTGGGATTTATTATGTATTTTATTCCAAATTTTTCTTTCAAATTTTTTGTACCCCAACTTCTGATCATCCTCTGGCCTTTGATTTTGCTTTCTTGTTCTTTTCTAGCTCTTGCTACTTCAGCGGCTTCGGCGACCAAGTTTGACGACTCGGAGTGCTTTTTCTTCAGTCCTCGTGATTATAAGTACGCTAACAGTACTCGGTGGAACAGGACAACATCGTCTGGCTTCTGGAAGGTCACCGGCCGGGACCGGAATATCAGAGAGCAAGGCACCAACAACGTCATTGGGACTAAGAGGATTTTAGTTTTCTACGAAGATCGTTCTTCTCGTGCACGTAAAACCAATTGGGTTATTCATGAATATCATGATGCCACACTTCCTTTGGAACAGGTAAAATCCAATTCTGTTTCTGTTTCTTCATATCAACTACGTGCCTTGAGAATTGGAGAGTATATGCCGTGCTTCTATTGTAAAACCAAAAGAATTTTCTGGGTTTCAAAAGCTGTTTTTCAACTATAGTTACTGAATTTACCGTCAATAATGTTATTGGTTATGTTACTCTGTTTGTGATTCAATTTCGACACATCGCATTGTTTGGTAGCCAATGCTTGTCATCAATTTTCATGGGTAATTGAGAGCGGGTTTTTGGAGTTAGCTCACGATACTGTCAGTTGTGATGAATTACTCATCTAATTCAATGTTTCTATTAAACTGGTTACTGTTAATTCTGATTTTATGCTATAGTTTCAACAAATGAATGCCTGATTATACTTGCAAATGGTGCAGGGGAACTTTGTCCTATGCAAGCTAATGAAGAAATATGAGAAGAAAACGAAAAGAAAAACTATTGACTTTGAGCAACGATTAATTGAGCTCGAAAGGGAGCTCAATAATGACATAGACTTTGAGCATGGAAATCAAGCAAATTTTAATATGATTTCAAATGTAAGCAGAAGGATTCTTGAAGTAGTTCACAGATTATGCTTGAAGGCGAGAAAGAGAATGAGAACTAATACTTGTTTTAATGCTTGTTTTAGGAATATTGTTTATTAAATATGAGCTCAACAATTCAAACTTCCGCTCAGGAGGCTATAAACAACACAGGCACTCCAACTCAATTCCTTTCAAATGAAGATATAGACTCAATCATTCAAGAACTTTTCCCGTCAAATGAAGCTATACCATTAAAACTAAATTCAAGTGGTGAAACACCTCTTGATTTTCATTATGAAGAATCATACTCCAGCTTGGTCGTGTAGTTGGCTCCAACCATGGATGAGCAATGGTTACGGCAAACGATGGCCACAGCTTCTCTGCATTGATATGAAGAAAAGAAAAGCATTTGCATTAGAAGGATAAAGTACTGTAGTGTATCTTTTTCCAATTACTTTTCTAAATTCCTGTGATTTAGCATGAAGAATTGTTGTGTATCTTTTTTGTTTTTTTCAGTGTTATGAGTCCTGGTGACTAGTGATTTAACTTGTACTAAATACTGTGTTTAAATTAATGCAAATTTTTATGGCCATAGACGATTGGTACTTTTCCTCCATAATTAACTGATGCTATAGTATAAACCATTGATGCAAAGAATTCTGGTGTAAACCGAAAATTAAATATGAGAAGAGAAAGTAAACAAAATAATAATAATGTTAACTACTGCCTTTTTTTCTTTTCTTTTCTTTTTATAAATAAAAGCACACTACATTATATCCATCATGTGCGGAGCCCACCAGAGGATTTAATTGGCTTAGTGACAATTGCCTTTTTTTTTTTTTGTCCAGTTGCTTGTGTGAATGTGTTTGACACTTAGCGTTGAGAGAGAAGATGAATGAATATAACGTGCAATGTGGTTAAAACGCTAAAAGCTTTACGATCAAAGCAAATAGCATTAAGAGAATAAGCTAGAAAAGATGAAAAGAAGAATAACAAATCAAATCATGAAATGAATGAGGATTAGGTGTAGCGAAAGGAACTAGTCTCTTACAACATGGTGAATCAAGATTAGAATCTTGTTAGGAGAAATGTCCGCATTTAATACCTGATAGTGTTTCGAATAGAATTACCTCCAATAGAAGAATATTTATGCTTTAGCAAAAAAAAAAATTCAACCATGAAACAAAATAAGAGCATTAAAAAAAGCAAGTCAAGGAATATGAGGGAATGGAAGGAGACGTACCAGGCAAAGGTTAGCGGGATCAATGCTCCCAAAAGCTAAAACTTGGGGAGCACGTCTAAGCGTACAGCTATATACACACAAGAATTGCCATTTACAAAACAACCCCCCAAAAAAACAAAAAAGGGCAGTTTGCTTTCTTACAAGATAATACCCACCATTTCTGGTATTTTAGTTAAATGAGTTTAGTGATATAGCCATTAGGTTCTCCTAGTTTAAAGTTACCAATGTGTATAAATATCAAACTCTATCACCCATCAAAGTTAGGGGGTTCTTCTTAGCCCTACAACAGGTTTATTGTTCATCACCTATAAATTTTATTAGTACTATCTAATGGGCTCATTAATATGAATCTCATTTGGATGACATTTTGCGGATTTGCTATTTAAAGATGGTTATTAATTTTTAGTTTCACAGAAGTGTGTTTAGCACACAGACCAAAATGAAAACGGCAATTAAAAAATGAGCTGATTGGGGTGACAGAGGCTCGAACTCGCACTCCAGGATAACACCAACAAAGCTATGAGGCCTACGCGCCAGCCAACTGCGCCACCGCCCACCACCCCGCTGCTGCTTTGCTCCTTGGCGTTACTTTTTATAATACATCGGAAAAGAGTAATCGATTTACTGATCAACAAAAATATTTTATCAAAAAAGAGGATAAAATATGAAAGAAGCTGAAAACGACCCTCTCAGGATTCCAGGTGTTTTGCGTGCTTTCGAGCACAATCAACCGAGGGGTTTCTGCTTTTGGTTTTCTTTTATTACTCTCAGGATAAAACGGCATGTAGTTTTTTTATTAATAAAAAAAAAAGCTTCTTACATTAAAATAAGTCCATAAATTACCATTAAATTGTGGTGTGTATTTATCTTTAATCAGTCATACAGAAAAACTTACGTACATAAAACATATATTTGCGTGCAGGGGCAAATATACAATTTAACATGTCCTTAAGATTAATATACAAATTCACCCGAAACCTTAAACCGCCATTATGTTGCAATTAGAACCACTCACCACCATTTCCACGTAACCTAAGTGAGCAAATGGCATGCAGAGTATTCACACAATTAAATGACAATGCATCACAAACATATTACCTATCATTCCATCGCGAACGAATGAAAAATAGGGCACCAGCAGGAAATTCTGACCCCCAATATTGATTTCTCAATTCAATGGAAAGTGCATTTATCAACGGCTGAACAGTACAAAATTATCCATCATCAATCAATAATCAATAAATAATGAATATATAAAACACTATGCAAGATATTACTTTTCAACCTGCTTAAGAACAGTGACCATCTCATCTACTAGGTTCCAAATTCCATACACAGCACAGGAAGAAACCTAGTTACAAAAACTTTGATGAGCCCGGTCTTCCATTTGTAGGCTCAACGCATTACATCATTTAGACACTTCATTCACAAATGAATATATATCAAACCAACCCATCCCGCCCCCCACCCGGAAAAAAAAAAAAAAAAAAGCAGCTTCAAAATTGGACTCTAGCCTACAGCTGAAGGTCCCTGATGACCCAATATATGAGTATAATTTACAGTAATATGAAGCTGTCAAGTGTCAAGGAGCTGAATTATACAGCCAATACATTAGCATGACAATACAAAAACATCATGCTGGCTTTCAAAGGCAATGAGAAGGGCAATTGAGCCTCCATTTTATTAATGCCCCAACAATCTGAGCTGAGCTAACCGAGTGAGGAATACTTTTACAGCATGGGCACTGATGCAGACCCCAACACATCGATTCATAGTCGACTCTGTCATCACTGGGTGCCAACAGATCTAGTGATCAGAATGTTTAACAGCATGGTTCTCATAATTACACTATTTATAATTTCTAATCTATAAATTAGATGTACCTAGGGAGATGTTGCTTTTTTATTTTTCCTTTGGTAGAGAGAGATGTTACTTTAAATTTTCAGGAAAACACTGAGATCCAAGTAAGAAATATAAAATTGTCCATAACTTACAAACATCAGGGTATCGCAATGCTACACAAAGCGCTCACCGGCCTTTGACAACCATAAGGTGACTGGCTTCATGATAGATGAAACATCTTGAGGACAATGGGCATACTCTACTTACCAATTCATCATCCATTTAACTTATCCGGTACACTATAACTATCTAATGCTAAATCTGATCTTCAACAAGTCTTCTCATTGCATATGGTTCTCTTTGGAAAATGAAGAAATACCATATACACTAAAATGTCAATGCCAAGTTACTAAGTGATGCTTCAACACACAAGCTCCAAGCTGGACACAATATTCACCCAATTCTTCCTCATGATACAAAAATGCCAGATTGCTTGCTCCTTTTTGTGCATAATAATATTGTGAAATTACTTCTAAAGGGATAGTTTTACATTTTGGGCGTGCATTTTAAATAGTTTAACATTGCATATTTCTTAACGGATTAGGAAACATGGCGACTAACCTTTCAGTGCTACTGCATTAGATGATAAGACAAATAAATCAATGATGAGGATCACAGAGGACGGAAATTCCCAGACCTACAGAAACAAACTAGAAAGTTAAAGGGATAGGATGAACAGGGAATATTAGACAGGAGAAGGAAGTGCACAACAATTAAAATGAAAGAACTAACATAAGTTTCTTATAAGTGGAGAATACCGTCATTGAAATGAGAAAAACCTTGAAGTAACCTGAGACCAGGATTGCAAGCAACAAGTCTTTACACCTGCACATACAAGTACAAATATTCTGACAATGTTGTGTTGATACAAATTAATGCTCCTCTAAAAATATTAAGTTGTCTGCAAAATCATATTTTCTATTAAACCGTATATCACTCTGTCCTCTTATCATAAAAACTTGTCAAACTTACTGATATGTTTTGGTAAAAATTATAGATCCATTTCGCTAACATCACCAAATTTTGGTAAGCTGTGTTCGCATATATGCATCAGAATAATAGTCATATATTTGCCAACCCCATGAAGCTAATTGTCTTTCAATTTAACCATAACATAAGGCCAGTTCTTGGTCAAAAAGAAATTATCCTCATTCTCAAAATTAAATCGCAGGAAACGGATCCACTGTGACTGGACAGTTATGAACACAAAAGCTCCACAATGGACAACCTTATCACTGAATTATTCATCATGATAAGAACGTGGCAGACTAATTTTTGCTTTTCACTAATAAATGGAATTATGTACCTTGAGAAACTGATTGACGTACCGATAAATATCCTCATTGCAAAAATGAAAGTCAAAAGAAACATAAAGTTTCCAAAGAGAAGATCTAACAGCATCTGCTAACAAAATCCATGAATTAATAATCCCTCATCAGAACTAGCATAAAATTCCAAACCAAGCAATTGCTGAAGTAAAGGTTAATCTGTTCATATATAAACCTTCCAGCACATTGACACTGGTGAAGAGACACTCGATGAAACAAATTCATCCTTGCTGCTTTCTAAAACCAAACTCCTATCTAGAATAATTCTTTGTAAGGTTACCTTCCATAGTGTACGAAATTAACATTTCAATAACATCCTTGGCGAAATTAGAATAATTCCTACACATAACAAGGATACAAGCATCCAAAAGAAGAAAACTGGCTGCCAATTTCCAGAATAACCCCTGCACAGGAACCAATAAATATAAGCCACGTGTTAAAGTGAAAACGGGTTTGATCAACCAGTATGAGAGAAATTACAATTTCAAGAGCCTGTGGAAGTAGCAATTTAACTCCTACCGAGGAAAACGCTTCATGGTCGTTATTTTCGAATAGATTCACAAGAAAAATGTTTAGCTTACAATAATAATCATCAAGATGAAAATCTAAAATGAACTTCAGCTAACAACAGTAGTCATTGCAGTAAAGCTGCTCCCAGCAATGTTACTAATCACTAATCAATAATTAACAGAAAATCGCCAAAAACATAGCTGTGTCGTAATCATATCTGCAAAAGCGACTAGTTTGTTCACTAAAGTACACAGCGTCACACATTAAAGTGAATATAACGTAACAAATGACTACAGGGTAATGACGAAACTTAAGCATACCTCAAATTTATACTCTTTTTTATTAAGGACGTTGAAGAGAAGATGTCTGTAGGCCTTGCACTTGTGAAGCATTAAATCTATTAGCAGAATCTAAAAAAGAAAAGGGATGGCAAGAAAGTCCCGAATCAAAATCAAAACATTCTAAACTTTTTTTTCCAAAAAAAGAAGAAGAGGAAATTTCTGAAAACGTTGAGTACCATGATTTCACATTCTATGTACTCGTCTGCTACGGCTTTGCAATTCTCCTATACAGTTGAGAAACTCAATTCATCAGCTGGGGAAGTTCGAAAGTGATTGTGGGACAGAAAGAAACAACCAGAGACAGCTTACGCATTTCATCAGCCGAATATTGCCCGGAGAATACTGCACGTACAGTGTTTTGGTCCCGAATCCACACTGCACGCATCTGTACTCCATCAGATCATCACTTTGCTCGCTGGGTTGCTGGCTCGCTGGCTCGCTTTTTGGGTGACGATTTCTCCATTTTCCTCGCTGCTTTTTCCTCATTCCAAAGGTGAGAAACTCTCAGCTGGAGCTCGCGACCGAGAAAGAGACGCCGCCGGCATGAATCAGTTATTGGGCTGAAAGAAAAGCACACATGATCCGCATTCGGATTCGGTTCTCTCTCTTTTTTTCACCTTTGAGAACAGGCTTGATAGGCCCAAAACAAAACGGTAGTATTCTTTTGAATTAGGACTTGCTTCCAACCAAGGGCGTCTGGGTGTCGCAGTAGGGTTAACCGAAGTTTGGATTCTGCTAGAAAAAGTATTTAGTACTTGGTAGTATTTTAAATAGAATTATTTTTAATACAAGAATACATTCAAAAACATCTGCTTCCAAAGATTTCTCCGAAAAAGTTTGCCGGAATTTCAACTTCCTACAATTAGTTCTTAAATTATACATGTGCCACTTTTTGATTTCCCTAAGTGACTCAAATAGGATTATCTAAGTAAAAAAAACATGTACATTTTTTCTCCCATAAAAAATAATTAAAAATAAAGTATACTCTTAAATCTTAATAACTTATAAATAATATAACTCGTTATAAATTTTATATTAATATTGATGCGCTGATTTGAGTTATCTCATAACAATAATACATATCTACCCCAGTATCAGTGTTTATATTAAACAAATAATTTCAAAAAAAAGATATTGTAAGCTATATAAAAAAGAAAAAGAAAAAAAAAGTCCCATAATTCTAAATTGAATATTTTATATCTATATCGTGAAACATTCAGTAAAAGAATATAATTAAAAAAAATTTGTAATTTAGTACTCCCGCATGTCGTTATTATAAATATTTAATAACAACTTTACATAAATTAATAAAGTTAGTTAAAATTAGTTATTTCTTCTAAAACATCAAAATGACTTTTAATATGAAAGTCATTAGTCGGAAAAATTAAATCCGCTTAATAATTAGTAAGAAAGTTTTATAACTACTTAGGAATGCTAGGTGGGAAAATTAATGTCTTAACGAAGCACAGGGGAGCAGTAGAGAAGATAATTTATTTCCATGTCTTATCTTATGAGGCGGTATAAATACAACAAGTGGTTCTCTTTAAATGTTATTTAAAGAGAAGTGGAACCCAATCCACATGGACAAGTTATTGTCTGATGATATCAAGGCACAGATGTATACATAGCAGTTGTCTCATCTGTCATTCATGGCCAAAAACAATATAATGTGATATTATGAAACACCTACCTTCCTTCCACATGAAATATATATATATATATATATATATATATATATATATAGAATCCAATCAATCAGAGACCCCACTGCTTCAAAACGACTTACGCTTCCTACTCAATTCCACATTCTCTTGTTCCTTTCAAATTTAAAGCCGCATCCGTATCAGACAAATCCCCCCCCCAAAAAAACAAAAAAAAAAAGAAGCTAACCCTTATCTCTCCCACGCTTATTCTATGCATATCAGTTCCTTTTCCTCCCAAGAACTTCCTCTTCTCTACGAGTGATCAAATGATAAAAGATGATATTTGGTATACTGGATGTGTTTGAGGAAGGCTCTGAGTTCAAACATATAATAGTGATGATAATGTGTAGGGTTTTGGTTCGGGAGCACATGCATGGGATGTTGAAAAAGCCTGCGAGTTGTTGACTATAAACCAAAGGAAGAACCAAAACAAAAGGCTTACGACTCTATATGTGTGTGAGAAAAGACTGGTGGTGTGTAATGATTAAGTGAGTGGTTGATGACTATAAGGCCTTGTTTTGTTTTTCTTGTATCCCTCTTCTTGCTGCTGGTCCTTCTTCATCTCCTGCGTGCTGATTTAAAGAGTGCATGGTCCATATTGGTATTAAATGTGAACACACTGATTGTGATCTCTGTTGAGCTTATCGATCATTTTGTAAATAGCAAAGGGAAAAAGTAATACTGCAAAAGGGGTTCAGTCACTTTTGGGGATCATCGTTTCCGTCGCGTCCTGGGGACTACTACCTCTCTTCCCTCTTGCTTTTCTTTCTGACTTTGTTTCTCAGTATCTTAGTGGTAAACAAACAAAACCTATAAAACAACAAAACATCAGTAAAGTTTTCTTTCCCGTCAGAAATTAGGGTTTAATTTTTCCCCCCTCAAGTTAAAAGAACATATACACATATATATAGGCCTAGGTATAGGCTGTGTAAGTATAGCTAGGGTATTCTTTTATCACGCACGTAGTTATTTCATTTGATCATAAAGTTTCAAACATGTCCGATCCATTGCTGGCTGTATAATTAATTTTCTGTTCTGAGATTCTAATGCCACAGCCAGCTAGCTTATTAGTATGCCACAACCCTTTTATATTTATCTCTCTCTAACACACAAAAACACACACATATTGGTTCAAATAAACTCTTTCATTTCGACGCTTTCAACTTGTCAAGTAGCAGTTCAATCCAAGCATTTTGCAGCTCAAGCAGCAAAAAACCAGTCTGCATAACTCGTAAAAGTTCAACCATTAAGGTCACAAAACCAAAGTCAGATTCAGATATATTAAGCATCTCAGTTATATAGATATATACGTGATGATTTAATTTCTTCTATGCTGATAGGTATAGCAGTAAATTTACAAAGGATGGAGATATATATATATATAACAGAGATGAGATATGTATATATAAATTAGAAAGAAGAGAGGAAGAAGGAAATGGGAAGGTGGTCCAAGAGAGAAGGGTAGTACAGATAGAATGATTTGGATGGATCAGAGGGGAGGGGGCAGGGCATGCGTGGAGAGATGCCAAGAAAAACAAAATGGGGAAGGCCACGCCACGCCGGGCACAGCAAGTTAAAAGGTCAAGACTTTATGGTACACTGATCTGCTTTATGATCCCCTCCCATTATGCAACCTCCCCTCCTTCCTCCTCTTAATTAGCCCTAACCCCTCCTACCTATTAGGGTGGGCCAACCCTCTTCCTCTCTCTTTATATATGTGTGTATTTTTGCTCAGAAAAAAATGCATGATTATTCTCACCAGTACATATTGATATTTTTAATTCGCAAGCTTAAAATTAACAAATTATCAAATTCGCTAGCCAAACATATTCATCACTTCATCATCAATGTATCATGATTCACAAACTTCTGATGTGTGATTCTGTCTGATTCTTTATTTATACATTACCCTTGCGCCTTAATATAAAAGCTAACTAGTTGATTAATTTGAGTAGATTAAGAAAACTAGTTAAGTTAGTTATTTGTAATACATAAGTGTTATTTTTTCTAGAATATCCTTACTAATCATATGTATTAGTTAAAACTACCATTTGATGGAACATTTAACATATATAACTACTACAAAGTCTACTTTGGAAAAAAATGGATAATGTGAATTTGAGTCTTATATTTAGAATAAAAAATGAATATCAAACTAACTCTCATATGAGAGGTCATGTCCTTATCATTACAAGGACCTTCTACACATTGCATAATATAAGATGTTTTGTTTAAAATATTAATTTTTTTTTTAACGTGGTATGCCTAAGAAATTATAAAAGTTCCTAACTAATCAACTAAACTCCACTAGCAAAAGACTTTTATTGATGGTAATTTTAAAATTTTATAAGATAATTAATTTTAACTAAGTTTTTTAATTTCATAAAATAGTTCACTGGAACTTATAAAGAAGAACGCCATGGAATATATAGTAATTTGTAGTACATGATCCCACAATAAATTACATGTAGCTGTGTGTTTATGCCCCTCTTTCTCTACATATACATACACACTTTTTAAATTAATTGCGATTTTTCAAAGAAATGGATATCAAATAGTAGCAAACCTCATGCATGCATGCATGGCCGGCTGGTAATTATTATTATATACATTTTTCTCTGTAACACACTGTGCATGAGCAGCAAATTCGTATTACACTTTTATATCCGTGGGAGACCTTTTTTTTTTGGGGGGGGGGGGTATATATATATACACACACACATATATATATTACAATTTCAGTGGCGGATTTGTTTGACTTGGTAGTTCCCTACCTTGAAAGGTCACAATGGTTGTAATTATTTATTCTTTGGTGTATATTATTCAACACATATATAGTAAAAGGATAACCATAAAATAATTCTCTCTGCAAGAGATTAATTAATTTATTAATCAGGATTAAACTTGTGTACTGTTTATGAAATCTTCTATCCACGTAAAGGGATCTTCTTCTTTTTTTTTTTTGGGTGAACTAAAGGGGTCTATTTTAATTTACTTATAATAGAAGTAGTGTTATGTGATATTCTGACACTACTAGTTTTTATTAGAGTTTGATTCTATAACAATATCTTTTACAATTCGGGCAATGACGAGGAAGTGACCAATTTCTGTGACTTATTATTAGATATGACAATTAAATATAAGTTAACTCTAATTAGGCCATGAAAATCATTTTATAACTAGATTACGTGGTTTTTCATAAATGATGTATCATCACTCTTCTTCTAAGGCTCTAATTATTGAGAGTGAAAATGAAAAAATACATTTTATTAGTAAAAATAAACACACACACAGACACAGAGAAAACTATTTGAATTGAGGCTAACTCAAATAGTAAAAATGTTGTCGGTGTAGAAATTTAACACGTAACTCTCTTAACTTACTGACAAATTGAATTTGTGTGTGTACGTGACAGTTTTCAATCGAAATGTCTTTGGCAAAGTCATAAAAGTTACTACCCTAGTCTTTAATATATAATATATGAACTCGTTTACTTGATCCTAAATATAAAATCTCAATCTACTTTATGTCTCATATTTATCTATTTTTTTCAAGGTATTTATTGTAATAAGGACAGTTCTAGCCAACATATTTGATTAGTAAAGAAATTTTAGGAAAGATAACACATGTTTATTATAAGTAACTAATTCAACAAGTTTCTTTAATCTACTCAAATTAGTCGACTAGTTCTTATATTAAGCACTAGAGGTAATGTTTCATTTCTCCTCACTCTACATTTTCTCGTAACTTTAATTTCATCATTGTCTAGCAAATCTTGAAACTAAACATCCAAACATTATTCTTCGAAATGCCAAATGAAAATGTAGTTGCTGCTCAATATGTTGTCAAACAGATTTCAAAAAGTTTTACCAGAAAAAAAAGAAGAAGAATACATTATTATAACTTACACCGAAAATATGAGATAAAATGAATTACTATTGACAGGGTAAAGATATATATATGTGTGTGCATATATATATATGTATATTGAATTCAGATAAATAATTAAGCTTAGAAGTCAATAATTTATTTGGTTATAGACGAGAGACATAAAAAATGTTAAATACCTTTGTTTCTTTAGTTGTGTATGTGCCAGTGAAGAACGTCATCCTATATCAATACTTACTTTTATCACAGCATGAATCTTAAGAATAACAATTTTCACCAACATTCTCACGTTTAATAATTAAATAAGTCAAAGTAGTTTTCTAACTGAGTTTAAATGATATCGTTCGCTCATCATATTATTTCTTTGAAATTTTGTTAGATTATTTAATAACTGTTATAGTAGTAATAATCATAGTACATATGTATGTGTGTCTGTTATAATTAGCAACTAAATATGGTCTCCATGCATTGCATGAAAATATTCAAATTTTTTAAAGGAACGCGTAATTTGAATATATATATATATATTGAGCTTAGAAATTTCCAAAAAAAAAGGAGAACACGAGCAACATTTGGTCAATAATGTAAATGTTACTAGGACTTCAACATTATATTTTATATATATATATATATATATTTCTTTCTACTTTTATGAATTAGGAGTAAAAAGTGGTATCATATATCTTGTGCAATGTTTCACGTAGCCACAGGAATTAAGAGCAAGTCCTTTTCTTCTATTTAATATTTTCTAGCTGGTACATATGATGAATTGACCAATGCGTAATTCGTCTTTTCTTTAACTTTTTTATTATACTGATTTTTCTATTATACCAATTATCCTTCATAAAATTAATTAAAATGACAGTCACACAAAGCATTATTTTATTTTATTTTGTTTTTCAAATTGAGTTTGAAACTTACAAAAACTTTGACACGCAGGCAATTTACATGCAAGTGGCTTCCGAAAGCAATTCTTAACTTTTTGAGGTTGGTTGATCTTGTTCAATTTAATGGAATATTTAGCATCTCATTTAATAACTTTGAAAGCTTTCTGCAAATTATTAAAAGTATTGAGTGCTAAGCCCTTTTTTCTTAATGCTGTTTAACATTCGAATTCCATTGAAAGTGAGAAGAAACATGCATGAACCAATTTATAAATTTTATTTGCAGTGTTTGAGATTCTCACCTGTAACATATATAAGATCACTGAATGCTGTTTTCTGCAGCATATATAGTGGTATAGTCAATACTTTGACCTGCGTATATAGGAATCACCCACATCACCAAATTAAAGAATATATCAAAATCTTATATAAAGTAAGCGCGTTAATTAAAATATGGCATGATTCATTATTATGCTTGGTAAGTTACAGTTTTTTCATCTGATCTAAATTAGTAATATTCAATAGTCTTAAAATCACAATTCATTAGGAACTATATATTAGAAGATATCATGACTAATTCCACAGAGTTTAGCTGGGAAAAAAATAATCCGCAAGGGAAAATTCCATATTAAAAAAATAATATCTTGGCTAATTATTATTTCCAATATGCATGGCTTAGGCCAAACAATTAATTGATCATCATCGATCAATAATTGGAAAGAGTACACACACAACTTGATGGAGTTTTCTTTCTGCTCTTCTACATATATCACACGCACAAAACTAGCAAATCTTTTTTTGACGTTCTATTAGAGGCAATCTTATTTAATGTATTGTCTGACATACGTACACTAAATATGGGTACTAATGCCAACAAATTTTAAATACATATGGAGGTAATCAAAAGGTTTGTTTTAGTTTTAAATGTCAAACCTTGATTTCCTTGGTCTCCCATATTTATTATTTCTTCCCAAACTGTCCTCACAGTTATAAGCTACTCAAATGTAAATGATTAAAAATGAAACGTATTTTTTATAAAAAGAAACAGTCCATTTTTTTATAAATGACTAATTTACCATTTTTTAATATATACGTGTGTGAGAATTAGCTAACTCGTAGCTTCTATATTTAGGATCAAGGGAGTAACATTTCAATAACTAGTAGCTTCTATATTTCTGATCAAGGGAGTAACATTTTAAACTATATGAACTAACTAGCACAAGTCCCACATACGTAATGTCCTTAATCATATTCGAGGACACAATCCTTGAGAGATGATTCACACATCAATTACATATATAAAATGCGAAGAATGTAATGAAATAAACACGATATATATGTATGTGCATGTTACAATGAATATATATTAATGATCAACTGATAATAATGCATATATATCTTACGATTGTTCCTATCCTAGTGTACATATATATGCCATGCACACACACACACACACACAGAGTGTGTGTGTGTGTGGGGGGACGGGTGTGTGTGTGTGTGTTATAGAAAGAACGGGTGTGGTTAGATTATCCATCCTGTTTGTCGACTGAGACAAATAGATCAAACTATCAACCTACCTTCAATCATATTTTCACTTTAATTATGTAAGACTTAAAACATCTTTTTTCTTTCCGTCTTTGACTATATCTCCTCTATTTTCATTGACTTCCCCTTTTCTATATTTAAGGGGCTCCTTATGCAAGGAGAAGACACAATAAAATGCCGCAAAACTTGAGGATTATTAATAACAAGACTTTTTTGTTTTATATCCATCGGCATCCATCTAATTACTTCATATCTAGTTAGGTCAAAAGGCACTTTAATTATTGTCCCTTTCATCCTATATTTTTTTTCCAGCAGTACTTTCACTAGCCAGAAGCATGCATTTCTCCGAAAGGTTCTAGATGATGGCCTTTTGGAAAAATTGATGACACTACCATATCCAAGAATCTGAGACGCAATTTTGATAAAAAGCAATTCCATTTGAGTGTGCTGTGGGGAAGAAATTAAGGTCCTACGACGTAATGCATCTGTCTTGTCTCATTTACTGTAATACTTTCGGCCTTCTATACATTGCTTTGCTTCCCCTTCTTATCATTTCACTACTATTACGGTCCTATCTCTATATCACACGTGATTCTAATTTTCAGACCATAAAGTGATAACTTTATATATATGGTGACAATTTAGCCTAATCATAATTTCAAGCCAGCATCTTTCGATCACCTTATTAATAACATGCATTAAAAATATTCATAATTAAGCAAAATCCAAGTGACGCAAAAGTGCACATGTGTATATATAATCTCTAATTTAAAATTTGAAAGCAAAAGCATCTATACAATCCGTGAAAGAACACAAGACTTATAATACTGGCTAGTCATCTTAGTTAAATTATCAGAGTGATAGACTTGGAAAAGAAAAGAGCTTTCACTTTCTTGTTAATATGCCTATCATTTCATGTCCAATTATACTGCTTGACATTACTGATCCGTTTAATTTCAACTTTCAACAGTAAGAACACTGTGACTTGGGACTAATCATATGTATATATGCATGACATGAACAATCGCAGTTTAGAATAATTAAGCAAATAAAAGCAAAGTGCCGTTCTATATGTTATAATGACCCATAAACATTACTTGCAAAAGTTAAACTCTACAATCAAAGATATAATTAAAGATGGCATCAGAAAAACGAGGCAAAGCAATAGAATCGTCTGTGTGTGTGTGTGTGTGTGTGTGATGATATGTGAAGTCTCATCAGAAGTAATTAATTTCCTTACTCTTTTCCGGTATTGAAATAAAGGGAGAGCCCACTTTTTTTGCTTTCAGACAGCAAGTTTTTGTACAGTGGTAATCCAACAACGAGGCGGCTGGTAAATAAGAGAACACAAGAATGTAAAGCAGAAAAACCAGAAGCTAAGTCAGCTATACTACTCATCGATAAATGATACATATGGAAGCTAAATTTAGCAAGAAGAAAAGTAATCAATCAAAATGGATGGAGCTGCAGTAGTAATAAGAACAGGTAAGAATTAAAAATAAATAAATAAATAAAAAGGTCACCTTTTTACAGCTAGCTGTACAACCTGCAAAGCTAAAATGCCTCACTAAGCAGAAGCAGAAGCAGAAGCGCAGCAGCAGAATCGGCAGGGTTTGTGAACAGCATCATCCCAACAAGGCTAACAGAAACCTTAGAGAACAAAAGCAGCAAGCTTTTCTGTGTCTACCCATTAAATGCAGTGAACGGAAAGAGAGAGATATATCGTACACTATCCAGCAATTAGAAGACACCAAGAAAAAAAACAAAAAGAAGGAAAAGATGCTAGAGTATATATGATCATTCGATATATATATATATATTGTATTACTACTATATATTTATACAGTTGAAAGGTCTGAAACGTAGTTAATTCCCCATGGATCTCATTAGCCTTTCGTGGTCGCGAAACGATGGTCCATTTCATCGGGACCCAAACAAACCCCCGAGCTATATAATATATATAATTGGTGATGCATTGAGCAGTTCAGAATGTACTAAAATCCAAAAGCTAATTGATTAAACACTAATTATTTAGGGGGAAAAAAAGAGGTTGATCGAAATATAACATAATGCTGCAAAAGGGAGTGTTTGAATTTGGTCATCACTGATTCGCTACTGTCGGTATTGGAAGGACGGTTTCAAATCAAAAAGCACCGAAGTTTTCCCCTTTTGATCTGCAAACCTTGATGCTGACGATGATGAAGAAAGTGGGTCTTCTCCTTCATGGGATTCTCTCAAATACTGAAGATTTGGTGAGGAAAGTGATGAATCAGCCATTGGCACATGTCCTACTGTGTTTGATGACGAAGAACATTCCATATTCACCCCAAATAGCCTAAGCTTCTTTGCTGTAGTATCAGTAATTCTACCACTACTAGAACTGCTCTTACCATGGACTACTGGAACGGAATCGATTATCATCGGACTTATATTGCCCCCTCCCTCTCTCTGCTCAATTAAATTCCGATCTCCCGGCGCCGACGCTGACGACGTCCTCAGGTAGTAAAGCGACCCAGATCCCAAATTCAGCTCATTATAGCTTCCTTGACTTCCACTATAGAGCTGGTGATGATGATGATGATGTTGTCGCGGGTACTGAAGTAGCTGGTGTTGTTGCTGAAAGGGGTAATTGTTGTAGTTCACTTGTGGGAAATGCTCGTGGGGTCGCGGTGGTGGCGGCATCACCGGCGCAGCCGTGGGAACCGAGTATAATCTGCCATCCCATCTGATGGAATACTGATTCGGAAGGAGTAACGGTGTAATTGCGGCGACATGGCGATGATGATCGGTGGCGGAGTAATCCGGGCGGCGCCTCCAGTCTATGTACAACCTATGCCTATACAATTCACCGAGGCCTCGTTGGAAGGATACAATGTCGCCGGCGTCAAGCTTCTTCTCTTTAACAAAACGGCTCCACCCCTTGGTCATCACATAGCTCTGGCTGCTGTTCCAGTAGGAGTACCGGAAACGCCATAGCTTGCCGTTGCGGTCCTCGAAATTCAAGAGAAGGCCTTTCTCGTTGGAGGAAGAGTCGAGCGGGAAGTACCTCTCGGCGTGCTGTTTTGGTATGACGAGGCGATTCAGTTTGCCCACATCGCTGGGCGTCACAACCTTATCAAACATGTGCTCTTTCTCGATAGGCTTGTTGGCTTCATCTTCTTCCTTGTTTCCGAGTGATAAGTCCATGAAATCTAGCTTCTTGGGATTGTTAATGGCGGAATTGGAATTAGAAGGTGCATCCTGATGGTGTAACCCTAACCCAGATGATGAATTGTGAGATTCACAAGGGGTTGTGGCCTCCGGAGATTGTTGTTGATGGTGATGATCATGAGGGTGATGATGATGATGAGGAGGCATCCCCAACCATAGATTAGGAGGTGATGAAGAATAAGAAGAAAAGGGATAGTATTGCTTACTGCTTTCTTTATTACTCGTTTCAGCTAAATCCTCTTCCTCCTCCAGTAATTCTTCTTCTCTGCTGTGATCAGAATACCCTTTTGCAGCTTCTCGCGTCAATTCCATGAAATTCTGAGTGACCCACCGTGATTTCTCACCTCTGGATCTCAGGGAAAATAATAAATAATAATGAAAGAGTGGGGAAAACAGAAAAATTAAAGAGGAAAAGAGGAAAAAAATCTTAGGAAAGTAGGATTGTGGGAGAGATTAATGTCAAAAAGCTTACCAATCAGATATATAGTTGATAGTCGAGAGAGAGAGAAGCTAAGTCCCAAGATTTGAGAGGAAAAAAAAAAAAAAGGGGGTTCACAAATCGATCAGTAGTACAAGACAATAAAGAGTCGGTGCCTTCTTATTTGACCAGGAGGGGCTTCAAACCCTAAGAAAGACCAGCCATGGAGGGGGTCAAGTTGTTGTTTTGTTGACCTACACAGAACAAATATAAGAGAAGAAAAGAAATGAGAGAGAGAGAGTTCTTGTGCTTGTGAAGAGATAGGGAGAAGAGGAACAACTAGTTACCTCACAGGAAGCTTCTTTACAACTAGGAAAGAAGAAAAAGTTTTCTTCCAACCTCAGTGTTTATATTCTTGTAGAGGGGGAGAGAGAGAGAGAGGATTACTACTGGAACACTACTACGTGGGGGGCCCATGAATAATGGGGGCATTAGGGTCATGTGAGCAACTTGTCGTTTTCATCATATTTGGTATAATCTGTACAATATATGCTTCTGCTTTGCGAGCAAAACGCCAGTTGTTCCATTTCATTATCATATCATATTGTGTTCAATTTTTACACTTCTCATCATCCCATTTATTACCCTCTCCCTCTCACATTCTTTCTTATTACTGCTTCATTTCCTCTCTCTTTCCGCATGTATATACTTAACATTTGTAGTTATCCAATTTTGAATCCCTTTTCAGCATACTTATATATCTATATATATAACACGTGTTTTAATATTCTCATATTATGTTCACCTCAATCACATATATATATATATAATATGCCTAATTAATACGAGCAAGATATCATAAGAGGGTAAAAATTATGAATTAAGCGCAAAAACGCTCACGAAATTTAACAGTGTGTATGGGGAAATTTCCGCGTAGTTACCGGGGATTAAATTAAGAGCAAAAATATCTAAAGTATGTTAATTATATAGTCAACAGTATTTATACTGTGTTGGTTGATTTTATCTCTATGCGACGATTCTGAACAGTGAAAAATGCAGTCCACAAGATTAAATTAAGTATCATTAAAACTGTTTAATATGAGAACGACTTAGCCCGAACCCAGAGAATCACTGCAAAACCATTATGCTAAAAATTGGTTTAATTTAAAAATTTTGATGCCGAGTCATCAACAAAAAAAGGAAAAAAAGGTAGAGTATTTTCGTCACACACTTGGCAGTCAGAAGAGATGCTAGAGAGGCGGAGCGAATTGATTAACGAGCTTATCTTTGAAACAAGTTTTAGTTTTATTTGTTTTCAAATTGTTTATTTTATTAGTGATTCAGCTTTATTCAAATTATCATTCGTCTTAATAATTATAAGAGTAATATTATTTGATTTGAAATTGGACAGAATAAAATAAAAATATGTTCTGCGTGCAGAGATCAAAATTTCTATTTTAATCATTAAATTAAAATGGTCCCGTGCATAAAATTTAAAACAAAACGTTTTGTTCATGACTTGCAATTTTAATATGTTCTTTTAAACTCTTATAGACATTTTGATAAGTAATGTATATATACACATACTCAACCCTCTAAACTATTTTTCAGCGGGACTCAATATGTTAAATTAATTTTTAAATATATTTAGCATTCTAGAGTTTTTTTTTTTAGTACGTGACACTTAATATTGTAAAGTAACTTTTTTGTGTAATTTCATCTTAAAGTATTTTTTTCCTCAATAGAACAATCACCCTAAACTTATGATACCTAATGCTACCTGTTAGAAAAATATTTTAAAATGTTATATATACTAAAATTTAGTTTATAATATTAAAAAATGTTTTAAAGTGCTAGATGAAAAATACTGGGGAAAAAGAGAAAAAAACAGAAAAGAATTGGGGGGTAGCTAGTGAAGTTGCAGGGAAAGGAGGGAGTAGAGTGTTAGGTTCGTAGGGTTAAATTGATATTTGACTTTTGGTGTCATTGATGGCCTGCCTTATCACCTCATGCTCATGGTCCCAAACCCAGAAAAACAAAAATAATACGTAATTTTTTTATTAAAAAAATATTAAAATTCCTTTTATCCCCTGACAGAATGAAACAGACCACCCTTTCCCTGCTGGCGCCTTCCCTTGACATTCTCCAACTTACCCTTTATTTTTTCTTTTTCGAAAAAAAAAACGAAGCGAAAATGAAATTAAAGACTGTGACAAAATCATAAATAGAAATATAGAATAGAACAAACCAAATGAGAGAGCCCCAGAAGCACAGCTTATCTGATTCTATCAACTCGCCCACGAAACGACACCACAAACCTTGGCTTCTTGCTTCCTATAGGACCATTTCCAAGCGCAACTCGCTTTCTACGTGCATTCTTTTGCTTCCCAATAAACACGACCCTTTTTTTCGGTCATAATTAACGTTTGAATTCACAAATGTTATGTTTAAGAAAGAATGAAGGAACGAATTTGATGTTATTGGAACATAATACCGTAACAAATATATGCGTGGATTGTACTTTTTTTGTTTTATGGGAAAATTAAACAGAAAACTTGTACATGTATAGCAGTTAATTTGCAGGGCTATAAATACAATTCCATGCATTTGTACGTAATGTCCATGTGAAGTGCATTAATTAATGAGGGAGAGCCGATATAGTTAGGAAGCTACTAAAGGCCATTGTACCGTGCTGTCAAAAGGGGAAATATATTGTTCCCCCAAAAAAAGAGAAAAAAAATGTTTTTTGTTCTAATAAAAATTAAAGTCCTTCATTAAAAATTTAATTTGTGAAAATACCTAAATCAGAGTATTGGTATAAAAATTTATCAGGTTATTTTCGTTAAAAAATTGCAATAGGAGATTTTTTTCCCACAATTTTTATTTATTCTATATTTTTATTTTTTGGCAAAAGAAAAAGTCTTTCTATTCGTAATGATCACTTAAACTTTAATTAAAATGCTTTCAATAAGCATTAGCTTGAGAGACGCTCGAGTCAAAATTAAGAGATATCAGATATGTATTCTATGGAATACCAATAATTCAAGACAAACAAACATTTATTGTTAGACATATTTTTAGACTTTCTGTGTCACCGTAAAGACGCCTTTAATACTTTTGCGGAATAAAAACTTCAGTTTAGTTCTTCTCTGATGTGAATAAGTCAAATTTTCTTAATTTATAGAACTTTTTAAGTTTCAAGTTTTTGATTCATCAAATTCTTTATATGAAAAAAATGAAAAACTAAATCACCTTATTTTCTTAATATTAATAGACAACATTGAAGTCATTTAATTATATGTCTGTAGATAGATATCATATGCAACCAAAAGTCTAAAAAAGCATAAAAAAACAAGTTGAAATGTGAGGCTAAATAATTAAGCACTTCTCGGCACGTGATTGACCCTTAACCAGTCATATCAATCATTACTATTATTCTGTGTTCGGCATTTAGCCAGGTAGAAATAATGTTAACATTCATTACTATCTAATTACCTGGTTAGGGTATTAATGCACGAGCTTTCCCCCCTTAATCTTCCCCAACATTATCTCCTCACCTAATCCAGTTTCGTCCTAGAAGTCAGAGAGAATTATTAAGATCCATTATGAATTGTCCTGGGTGTCTCTCTTGTCTTTTCTTTAATTACCCCAGTTTCAAAGCCTCACGTTATTGTGTAGTACCTTTTTGTTGCTATGCTGGTTTCTAATATAGAATTTAGTTTTTGCTTGATTTAATTTTAAATGTGGAATTTTAATTCGTTTTTTCTCTTTCATTTATTATTTCTAAAAAAATTAATTTATCTAATTTATAAACTTATTTATAATCAAATTTTGCATGAACGTATATTTTAGAGATATGGTTTACATTTGTTATAAATTAACTAATTTATCTATTTTTTTAATGTATCCTAATTAGTTAAATAACATTTATATGATATTAAGAATTAAAGAGAATATTCAATAAGAAAAAGTGCACTAGCTAAGCAAATGAGTCCCCGCAACTCATAAGTGTTTTTTTCCCCCTCATTTGTGCAGGTGTGTACTTTAAAACTATTCTTATTTCTCTCTCTCTGTCATATTATTAACCTTCCTATTGATAAACAAGAAAACAAATTACTAAGAGGAACGAACTGTTTAACTTCAGAATTTATGTTTTATAAACCAAAAGTGTGCTAGGCCAAAAGCAAGTTGGTGATTAAAATTTTATATAGTTCCCAGAGAAATTCAAACTGCAATCAATTGAAAAAAATACGCTTTGAAATATAGTTAACGGCAAATTATAGCGCACATATGCTCAAGTAAAATTAGTGATAATCAATGGCATACAATTTAAGTAGTGATAACCAGGAATATACTTTTAGACGTAGTCACGTAAATTCTAAACTGCTAGGTATATATGTATTAAGTGTCATTGACATCTCATTTTATGTTTAATTATGGTTAAGTTGAATTATTTTCTTAAAAAAAATAAACTATTCACAACATCAAAATATAAATAGCAATAATATTTTATTTTTCAGAATATAACATTAATAAATGGAAGTACATATTAAAGGTATATATAGATCGTCTGAGAATTGGATTAGGAAATTGGCACCGCAAAAGTACAAAAAATATTTTACATGAACATATATTAGAAATTTTAACTTCAAATAATGTCATCATGCCCTTTTAGCCCTTGGTCAAATGCTAAACAAAAAATGTCTCACATTGATGTTGCCATATGTTCTGAAAAGCATGTGGTGATCAATTGGTCATTTGGGCAATCCATGTTTACCTCTGGAAAAATAAACTTTGTAAATATATGGCAAAAGCGTTAACATCTAATCGGATAAAAACATATATCCCTCCAATCAACACCAAATTATTTTTAACCAATAGCAACATTTAGAATACTACATATACAAAAGTACTTATAGATTACCTATCAATGAAGTCTTCATATCGTAAATGAGATTTGAATTCACACTTTTAAACTAAGATCAATGTAATAATAAACATAATATTTTATTCCTCCGGTCCTAAATACAATACCTCTTTTGTAGTGTAATTTACACTACAAAAAGGGTCTTATATTTAGGATCAGAAGAGTATATTAATATTTTGCATAAAATAAATTTTCTGTTTTTCAAAGACAAATTCATACACACAATGATCTTTACTTACAAGAACTAAGACTAAATAAATTATTTGCTACGCATCATAAACATTTGTCAGGAAAAACACACACACACACACACAGAAGAAGGGCTTAGATAGATATTTTGGGTTTCCACAGTA